GATGGAAATTGGCAGAGGTTGTGTTGATTATTAGGTAGTTAGAATGTTGTTTTTATGACTAAATCTTGATGTTTAAAGGTTGATTTTTAGACTTTTATAGTGTATTAATGATAGAAATTATGTTAGAAATGAAGTTTGATGTATTTTTATAGTTAGCTTGTTAGTTTTATAGTGTTTTGTAAGGGAATCGTAGGGTAAATTGTGTCTGAACTTTGAATGATTTTTGTTTTCTAAAATGGTGCAAAGTAGTTTTCTAAAACGGATCTTAAGAGCGATTGGTTAGCAAATGTTTAGTTTTAAATACCTCAAACGGCTCTACGAAGCCTATAAATGATAGTGCAATTAGAAAATTGAGAGAGAGAGTAGAAGAAGATTTTATTTGAAGAACTTGTTGAATTTAAAAGGCCTTCGGGGTCGAATTGTCGTAAGTTAAAACGTTCTTCTTTTTGAAAGGTTGTTTGGTCGTTGACAGTTTTTAAGTCTGTCATTTATTTTAATAATACTTAAAGCTAAGTATTTGTAAGGTTGTTCGGTTTATACTTCTCTCCATTTTTGTTTTGAAATAAATTGTTGTTCGGTTATTTCCCCAAATTTTATTTGGTGTCAAAGTATTAGCGTTAAGTCGACCGGAGTGCAACGAATGTAGAATCAAAGTTTGTTAAAGTTTTGTAGCTTGATCTCTACATTTTCATTTCATTACAATAGGATGTATATGCTCGCTAGGTAATCAATCTGGTGTCAAAATTAAATGACTGGAATAATAAAATGAAAAATCAACAGATTACTAGTTAAATATATACTACAACTGCTTTCTGTAATTGTTGAGATGACAAGATGAAGCGAGATACAAACTTTATATAATTGGAACACAATTTCTTTCTTTTCTGCTTATAAAAAATTAATTTATCAAGTTTTGATTAGCCAAACTTATGAATAGCAATCATGAAACACTTAATAATGAAATAAATATATAATCTTATAAAAATGCTCTACAGATTGACGATGTATTATTCGATAATCAATTAAACCTTTTCCTTATTCATAAGCATGGAAAGGAAGTGGTCTAGCTGAACGATAGTACTAAAGATCTGTTGTCTAACAATCATGATTGATTCTTAATTTATATGTAAAGGAGAAAATTTAAACATGAAAGAATGATGGCGCCACTGATCTATAAGTACAATTGCAGGTCTATTAATTAAAATCGATCAGTTTAATCGTTTATTTCTTACTGTGCACTTTTCCTACTACACTGGTCTATAAATTGAATTCTATTGACTTAACACTTGGCTAAAACATCTAGTATATAGTTTTGAATTCTACAGTAGTCACTGATCGATGATTTTAACCAATCTTATATACTGTATAATATACAGTAATAATGTAACTCTTAAAAAATTAAAATGGTTGTAGATATGTCGTACATAATATTGAGTCAATTATTGACGTAAAAAATGATGTAGATATCGATTTATCTACGTAAACTATCCTATTTTCCTTTATTTATTTCTGTATACAATTTTACAATATTAGCTATAGGTCTAAATGAATATAATTTTGATTATGATAATATTAATTAAAATAGCGATTCCTCCTGGAACTAGATTAAGTTATCAAGATAAATTGTTACTGTTGCTACGGTTTGTGTTTATATTTGTTTATTCAATGGACACAGATGACTAAACCAGCATATTGAAGATCAATTTTTTGAATATGTATAGTGGAAACATTTTATAACGTTGCAAATCATTTTCTATCATCATTTTCTATATGCCGATCTTCAACATCAATTAATAAAATTGGAACGATCGATCTTTTAATGTTAACATTCATTAGTAATCAAAAAATATGTAATGATTCCATCTTAAGTGAAGTTATAATATTTGATTGTCCCTACAGTTACTACAGAAAATGTTTTACTTTCTCAGTAATCATACAATTGGACTGTGCTAATTGCTTTTACATTTCATTTACTACCTCAAATAATTAGCATTGGAAATAAGGAAGTAACTGATAGTAGTAATAGGTCAATTTCGACCCCTAATTTCCTTTATTAAACGATCATTATCATTATAAAATTGTTTTAGACAGCTTATAATCATTCGAGGGTAGATTCTGACCGTATTATCTGTAGTAAGAAATGAAAGCATACGGAAATGTAAATAAGAATTGATTTGAGTACAGTATCTATTGACCTGAATTAATTGATGTAACTTTTTGAATTTTCATAATAACGCTACTAAATGTCATCCAATTGCATCATATTATCATGAATTGATGTTGCTTAATAATTAATTAAACTATAAGCCAAGGTGGTATAAAAATTATATTTCTAGTACATGCTAACGACATGGAATATCATGGTATACCCATAATTTTTGCTTAATTTTTTACAATTTTGATAAGTTGACATTTCTCAGTTATAGCTAATTTATATTTATCATTGATCATACAGAGTAGGCCATTAGATGTTATATAACTATAATATACAGTAAGTATAAGACTACTTTTATAGTTAAGTATAATTATAAGGTGGAAATCCTGTCGATTGTTTTCATATAGACTAGCTGTGCATAATAATATAAAAGAAAGCCGTAGAATAAATTTAAGTCGTTGTCTGTTGCAGACAGTATTGACGAAAGTATGGAGGTCAAGGCTATCTACATAAGTACTATGGTAGATCAGATTAAAATCAGTTGATTAACTGATCGCTATTGAATGCAATACTAATAACACTTGAAACGATCTATTGACAGGAAAAAATAGCGTAGAATTGAGAATGCTTATAAAGTTGAAGCCAAATCCAATTAGCCAGACATGCTGAAGAAGTTGCAATTTTATTGACTTCAATCACTTTGATTATTTTATAAAAAGACTGATTATCTATACGGTAAACGACATATATATGTCAGTTCTTCGCTAGGAGTTATAGCACTATTAAACCATTTAATTATTATTGGATTCAAATAATTATAATCGTATTTGATCCTATTTCTAGTTATTTTGCTAATGTTAATCATCTATCTACACATATGTCTATTTGCATAGTACTAGATTAGTTGCTATCCAACATAGACTAAATAGTTTTATATCGCCATTTATCATTGGAGAAAATAAAGCATGTTCTTTTATAGAACTAGAATAGGCAGGATAACCCTTGTAGAAATTCATGTATATTGATAACTTTCGCTTATTGTTTTAATAAAAACAAGAGCATACGAGTCTAAATTGCATACACATAGCATTAATTAAGGAAAATTTCTGTCAATTACAACACCAACTTTTCTCTGACCAATTGAATAGATTTCATCGTGACATATTACGTCAATTTACCGGTAGAAACCAAATTTCCACGTTGACTCAAATAAATTCCGATTATACTCTTTTTCAATTAATGAAACAGCTACTCAACCACGTGATAGATCAGTTCTTTGCTTGTTCATACAAAAAAAATCGGATGAATAGATAGATGATAGTAAGAGAAAGCAATAGAGTAAATTTTAATAACGGATTAGATATTATACAGACGCTTACATGATGGACAATCAGTACTAACTTTAATCTTAATGACTAAGGTGATTGGTAGATATATTATGGATAAATAATCCTCTGCCTATCACGATTGGTTACTTGCCTCATTTAAGAATAAAATTGGTTGATTCTAAATGATTAATTGTCTATGAGCCACTGCAATATCATCGTTAATTATTAGCAGCAAACGGCAAGTATTGATCATGAAAATTTAGCGGTGGCTATGACTTTCACTTTTGGCTTTTTCTTATTCTTAAATTGATCACGATTTTCGTTCTATTAAATTTCTTTAACTTTTAGATTATTCATTTTCTTACGATAATCATAGAGTGCAGCTTCATCTGATCGTTTTCTTTCCTATTTCAGCATTTCCACTTTAAGTAGACTTTAGCATTGAATCAACATCAATGCAAAATAGCATTCTTAATTAGAAACTATCTATATGAGTTAATCGTTGTAATTGCGCAATTTATTCCTTTCTTTTGCTGCTCAGACCTTCCATTTTTATGTTAAAAAAGGCTACAAATACAATTTTTAATCTAATTCTTTCCTTCTATAGTCCTAACTTGAACAATATTCCCCGAAAATCAATTAAAATTCTTGTATTTCTTACATTCCAATTGCTTCATACTTAGGTATCCATTTTAGATCGTTACGCGTTTAAACTGCAAAATAACCAATTTTGCAAAGGATACCACGCATTCCGGCTATTTTAAGCCAGCCATTTCTAAATCATAATTTTCCTTACTAAGTGCTTCTCAATACTGTACTATCTGTCATCATATTAGAATTATCCTGATTTTACGGCGGGTATATTCTGTACATATATATGTACATATACTTTTAAGAATTTGATTGTTTTAGTAACTTAGAAAGATATCCTTTTGTATGAGTCTTTCAACTTAATCATGTAAGTTATAGCTATCATTTTCCTATAAATCTATTTGATATATTACAGTTTATAGTATCATCTGTTATCATTGCAATTTGATTCGACTAATTTATTTCCTTCTTTCGGTATTTTACAATTTTATAAGCTAACTATAAAATAATCTTTGCGGTGAATCCAAAATCAATTTTAAAATTATTACTGTATAGACTTTCTCTATATTCTTTAACTTTCAAGTATTTATTTGTGTCTTTTTAATTGCTACTTCTTTTATTTTTCTCTCCTTTTCTCACGCTCAACTAATCATTGAATTGATTATCAGTGGCGCTTATAAGAGTTGATCAATATGTTCCATATATGTCGATAGAGTAACAGTCAATAAGATAGAATTATTCGTCTTTGCAGATGATGCAGTCTCAGTTCATCGTATCGTTCAGTTAATATTTAGCCTTTGTCAAAGGTCATCGATATTGTTGCCTTCATGGCTTTAAGTACCGCTAATTTTAATTATTCTTGCGACTTGCAAAGCAACGAAACAGTTCGATGTAGTGGGCAACTATGCAGTGCATTACTATCCATATTAATGATTTCACTAATTATTATTACAGTTATTGGCAATGGATGTGTCATGTATGTTATTTATCATAAATCGGTTCTTCATACAGTCACTGGATTTATGATGTTCAACTTAGCTGTAACTGATTTTATTGTTGGTATATTTAATATGCCATTTTCCTTAGCAGCTTTTGTAGCTAGTCAATGGGAATTTGGATTAGCTGTGTGTAAAATTGTAGCATTTATTCATACTCAAATGTCGACGGCATCAGTAGTATGGCTAGCTGCTATTAGTATCGATCGATGTTATGCCATCTGTCGACCATTAAAATATTATTCGGTCATAACTACATCCAAAGTGAAAATATTCATCGCTTTAGGCTATCTTATTTCAATTGTAGTAGCATTGCCACCATTATTTGAATATAAATCATGGGGACGATATCGTTACCTTGGCAAGATGGCATTTTGTTGGGTGTCCGATTGTAAAGCAAGGCAATATTTGATATCATTAATGTCATTTTTATTGACTTCATTTTTGGTTATCGTTATATGTCATGCATTAATCTATCGGTCTGCTAAATCCAATTTTCGACGAATTCCACGACCTACTATGGCCGATCATAACGATCAAATAAGTAATTCAACAACATCGCGTACATTAATGCCATGGTTATCGAACTTTACACAAGTACAGCATAATGCAACGGTTAGTAAGCGCTTAGAAATAGCTGATAAAGATAAAATTAATAAGACAACTCTGATAATTGTGGGGACATTTTTCATTTGTTGGGCACCTCGTACTATTATTGGTATCCTACAATTGCTTACAACTCAATTAGATAACTATGGTATGATAGAACTGCTATTTTTATGGTTATCTATGATTAATTCAACGTTAAATCCTATTATTTATGGTTTCCATAATAAGGTTTTTCGACAAGAATTTCGACGTGCATTTAGTTGTCGTCCTCATCGTATTCGACCTATCGTTTTACCGACTTCTAATAGGCCATCGATGCAATCATTTCATAGAAATACATCAAATTAAATTAGTAAAAATGTTGAAACATCATTTTTTCTCCAATTTATAACTTGAAAATGGTTGATGGTTCTATTGTAATTAGGCTGTTATTGAATACAGCTAATCGTAAGATTGAGCAATAATATTTTTCTTTCTACTGATTATAAACACCTATAGAATAATGTAGAAATGAAAGCTGCAAAATAAAGTAATAGAATATTAATGTATGTCTTTCTATTTTTTGTTCAATATAATAACAGTATATTGGCTTAAATTATCCTTTAGCTGTTGGTTATTGAACTAGTATCCAACAAATAGATCACAAGTCAACTTGGATGGAGATAATACCATTAGTCCAAAGGCTAATAATGGTTTGTCTTTTGTATAGGCGATTCTTTTCCTATACATTATTCGATTCCAAGTGGAAAGAATAAATATAACTTTTATTTTAGAGTTTACAAGAGAGTATTTGCCAACAAAAGAGTAGAAAGAGCATTCATGGTACTATTATAATTAATCATAGAATAGTAATTCTATCTTCTTGCGTGATAATATTATTACAGTACTTATTTCTTGAAACTATGATAAAAGCCTGACTAAAATAGATTACTGATGCCTATGACTTGTGCAAAAGTATTATCCTTCAAAAAATGTTGGCGCTACTAGTCTCGTCTTTTAAGAAATTTTAAATTCCTTAGTTAAATTCATTCTGAGAAATAATAAAGTAGAATACCCTATCTAGAAATGGCATGATAGAATATCCTCTAAAATAGATTTAAGAAGCCTACAACTAAGGGCTAATTCTTATACCTCTCTAAATAGAATGATATCGAGAAATATTATTGGGTTCCTATCACACTATCGGTAACATGGTAAAATCCTATCTAAAATTAGCTTTAGAGGCGACTAATAAGGCTCAGTTATTAGTTTAGTACAAGCATCATGACTTCGAGAAATATTATCATGCTATTAATAAGTTTTTGGTAGCATGATGGAATCTTATCTGTAATAGATTTTCAAGGTAAACTGCAAAGCCAGAACATTGTTCTAAGGATAAGTAGAATAAGTGGCATGACCAGAAGAAAGCTAATCTTATTCCTTCTATAACTGTAGCATGATTTATCGATGGCACGATAAAATTTCAACTAGCCATGTGTAAAGTTCATTTTGTAATCTAGTAACAAAGATTTAGGAAATATTATCTTAGAATATGAGTAATAATACTTTCTATCGAGATGCACGATCATGTTTCTATTGATATACCATATATTCCAGCGATAATAGAAATAATTTTATAGTTACTCAGGTATTGCAAACTTTAAACCAACAAAAATAATATGTCATAGATTTATTTTAATACTTGTTTGTGATAGCATGCGTAATTATGGATGAGAAATAAGCATAAAGTACAGCAGAAGAGACAATACATGTCAGTAGCTGTCAATAGTTTTCATTTCTTTCCCATGTCATTATCTTTTCCTTCTAAACTTTTTATTCTACGTGACTACATATGCGAAAGTGTTATAGCTAAGTAATATGAGCTACATTTATAAGAGGCTCTATTTAAATAGACCGGATGCAATTTTCAAGTGAATGGCAAATGAAATCTTCATAGTTTGATCAATACCATTTGATCATTGGAAATTGTGTCACGAGACTGAAAGTAAGCATAAATTCTCGTCGGCATTTTTACTTATTTTCGTGATTTTAATTCAAACTTTTTTAAAATTTCACTTTTTTTACGATCTAAAATACGGTGATATGAAAACTCAAGAGTAAGACGCTTCTAAAATTCTCTTCTGAAGATTTTAGGCTTTTATTAGTCATTTTCTACTTCAGTTTTACTTGGTTTCTGGATCGGCTGATTGGAATATTTCTAATGTAGATGTAAACAAACTTGCAATTAGATCTATCTGACAGCAAAGAAATAATAACAATTAAGCAAGATGGTTATTCCGGTATATTGTAAGCTAGAATAGAATATTCCAATCAACATTATATGTCGTGCATATTGAAGACAAGAGGCTGAATTTTAAATCCAATAATAGCTTTAAAATATTTATATTATATTATAAAGTTGGATTGAAAGCACGGGAAGATACATAGGAGTTACTTCTATAGTAATAGAACGAAACTTTAATTAGCGAATTGGATTTTGAACAGAAATTAGAGTTAGATCTTAGTTCGCTGTTAAAGTAGATATAGCATAATAAGCTGAACCTTCTGTTGAAGTGCATATATACTCTTACATGGTAATAGAAAAATACTGATATAATTCAATTTAGGATCTCTTTGTACCTTCATTCTTTTTCAAAGCTATTGGAAGATAGAAAGAATTTGTATCCCAACCTACTAAATGACATGATTACTTCCTACCGATATTGAAGGAAATTGAATAATATCGCTTACAATGATAACTTTACCCTGATCTGGCGAGAAGTTCAATAAGATATTTATGTATTAGGTAGAACAGTAAAAAAAAATTTATTTATTAATCGACTTTATCCATTTTTAATGAAGGTCATATTACCCTCTCTTACATATAAATCTAGATCGTGACTAGATTTACATATTTGCTAATAGCCAAAAGTAATTTTTATCAAGTATAAAATATTCGGAATATCCTTCCAAGTCTTCACTTGATAATTTATATATTGATATAGATTGAGAAAGAAATAATTTACGAGCTCTACACGCGCATTCATACCTAATGTAATTTAAACTATTTGCAATCAATCAGCCAGAAATTGTATAATTGTAAATAAATGAAGAAGAGCATATACCTTGGGTAGCCGCAATGCGAATAATCGAAATTATATTATTACTTAATCATCAATATAAACTATCCAATATTGAATTCCTATAATTATTTTCTTTCATTTACTTTATCATATTCCATATTAGTTATTAGCATTGCTTAATCATCAGAATTGAATTTCTTCGAAAAGGATTATGCTAATTTAGTTCCTAATTTCAATTTATGTTTTGCCTTAGTTGCATAACCAATATTAATATTCACAGTAATTTTTCTTTACGGTGCAAGATTATCTAGTTGATACGATTCTTTTAACTGTTGATTGAGACAGGAAATATGGATAACTTAAGACAGAAATGTGGTCGAAATCAGTAGTATCTAGACTGCGTAGAGATTTCTAGTCTACAATCGCAAAAAAAACATAAGATTTCTATAGAAACGTTGGGAGTTCATAATTTAACTGAGTTCCTATTAGATGATGATTGTATTTAAATCATCTTACACTATATATTTTTATGTAATATCTCCATTTGTCAGCATTGGCCAAGCCTAATTAAATTTTCATTTTTAATGATAATAAAGATACGATAGGTTATGACTAGAAGGTGGTGAAGGAGGCAAAATTAGTTTCGAATCTCTTACATTTGTCTTTAGTAGTGTAAAGGACTCACATGAATAATATATGAATAAGATAATAATTGTCAATACATCCTCTTATTCTCTTCTTATTAATTATATTTTATCCAATAAATCATAGGAATAGAAATATATATTACTTTATAGAACATTTATTTTGCAATCGGTAATGACGGCAATAAATCATAGGTTCAGGATCAGCTAATACATAGAATATTGATGAATTATTTTGAGTCAAATCCGACCACATATGATAACTTTCCTATTTAACCCAGAAAGAAATAATGTCATTTACTAGTAGCTACGATAGTTGTGAAATATTTTAGATATAATGATATGAATTACCGCTGATATTCAAATTCCTTATTTAAAGCTGGTCTGTCAGCCATATAATTATTTTATTTACCGATTAATGTTTAATTTTGTATGTGTATTATTACAACATCGCGAAACTTCAGAAAATAAATAAGCAACAGGAAATTTCGCTATCAACTGCTTTTTGCCCTTTTAAGATAGCATATTATAGCTTATAAATAAACCAAATTGTGGCTACGATCATCAAAGTGTTGAGAAATTATAATCATGAATAGTAGACTAGTAAATTTCAATACCAGAGTAACGCTATTTTATAAATTTGATAGTTTTCCCAGGATTACTTTAAGGCAACTAAACTTTATTCCAGATATTTGGGTTACTTTTTACTGAAAATCAGCTGCTCTACCCTGCTGTACATTTCATCAACGATTAGTATGGTGCACTGAGTATTTAGATAATAAATAAATTAATCAAAAGCGCTATATAATATTCTATCTCACTTATGCTATGATGAATTCCAAAAGGTTAAAATGTTGGAGATGCTAATCTCCGTAATAGTTTCCTAATCATATTCAATAAGTAGCCTAAATCATAATACAATGATATGTTTTCTATCTAAAGCTCATCACCGATAACTAACAAAATAATTAATTTAAATAATGTAGTAGCATCTATCTTCAATTTTATATTGCGTCAACGTCGTAATAATTTATTATAGGCGAAAGTGCAGGCGGTTTAATCTCCGATATGGATTTCCTATCTCATTATGTAGGTTATTACATGTGAGCTATATGAGGGATAATCAATCGAAATAGTAGAGGTATAATTGACCTTAATCTTATCCTAAATNTCAAGTTTGCGTTCATGATGACTAATATGTTCAATAACATTGAAAATATTGAATCACTTTCTTTTCCATGAAGATATTATATTTAGGGCTATACCGATATTTATTTTGACAACTAACAAGAAATTATGATAAAGAAAAATAAACAGCATCGTATCCTATTTTCATATAATGTATTTAAAAATTTTGATAATTTACCAAGATGGGAGGTATTCTATTGTCACTAGCCAATGATTAATTGAAAGTTTAATAGCAAGCTATCTTAAATTTTATATTATCTCTGAGCTAGAATGAATTGCCATAGATAGAGGTGTGGTTAATAGTCCAGTAGTGATTTTCTATCACTTAATACGGTATTCTATAAATTATATTCAGTATAAATTAGCGGTAGCTAACAATTACTTAACGAAAGGGAAGAGCTTTCTATCTTAATTTATATCGTATTTAAATTGTCAGTGACTGAAGATAAAGGTCCAGATGATTTTAATCTTGCCACGATTTTTTAATTTGCCTTTATTATGTACCACGGTATATATTTTACTAATATTAAGCTAATCAGACCTGAAATTTATTACTAGTAGCTAACAAGCAGTTACTCATAAAGCGAATGAGATCTTACTATAACTTTATACCATCCTTGGGCTTTGATGCAGCATAAATTTCAATTACGTCAAGCCTATTATATCCAATATTTACTACCGATAATTAGCATGTACTAATACTTAATTAAAAGCATGATATGGCCTTGCTCTAGTTATCATAATAGATGAAGAAATCGAATACATAATAGATATCCTTGGAATTCTGTAGATTCATTAAATCAGATTAAGTTATATTCAGCATTACCTAACTAATGAGTAAATTAATTACAAATATATAATAACATCTTATTTAGTTTTAAATTATGTTAGGATCATGATTACTAAGAATGGGTGGTGGTCCAGGTAATCTTAATTTCATCATAGTTTTTCTAATTAAATAATCATAGAGTGACATACCTTGTTAATACAGATGATCATCATCATATCTAACATATTTTACAGGCTATATTCCAATATTGATTACACAATAAGTAAGTAAATTAAACAAATGAAACGAGATTTTACTTCAATGCATAAATTGCATTAGGCTTATGGCGATAAATCAAAATTGATGAAGATATAGGCAAACTAAATCTTCTGAATTTTAATAATTGATATTGGTGAAATAATACATAGGCGTATTTCATTAATTTGGAATCGTCTAGTTTCAGTTTTGATTAATTAATAAATAGATTAATTGAAAATGTAATCAGTACCTTATTTTAATTTTATATTGAATCGTGGCGAAATAGAATAAGTGAAAAACGCAGGCAATCTTAATCTCGCTATAATTTTTCTAATTAATATTTATGGAGTGACCGATGACTCATTAATATTGACAGCATTGTATCCATCAATTTAGCTTATGAGTTTAACAATTAATTAAATGATGTACTAGCGTCTTAGTTTGATCTTTTAGATTTCTTAAAGTCACGATGAATCAGAATAAACAGAAATGTATGTAATTTTTAACTTCGCCATAATTATTTAGTTTATGTTTATCAACTTCAGATCATAGTTAAAATTTCAACATAGCTCTATTTAAAGTAAAATATTTCATTGATGAATTAGCTATAGCAACCACATAACAACTAATAATAACTATTATTATTTTGAAGACTAATTCTACAATCAATTGATTTCAATAATAACTCAAGCTATAAGATATTAATCTTACGAGACCGTAACATCTGTCAACGTTGGATAATACACCTATAATAGATTACTCGTATGATGAAGATAAACTAATAAATTGCCAATCACGTATTCACATTTTATTATCTCCGCTAATTTCGTCAAAATGCAAGAATTAGCTTTAGCCTTAATCCAACTTATAAATTGCAATATTATTTTTCCTTAAGTAGTTATCTTTTTGTCATAACAAATACATCTCGATATATATTAATAAAAAAGTTTTACCTAATAAGCTATTAAAAAGTGTGAAAATGGATCTCATGCTAATACTAATCGGCATAAATTAATTTAGGTTGTGAATAATGTAATAAATATCAACTAAGATATCTTTTTGTTTTGCATTTCAATTTGCTTTGATGCCCGCATACATAAGAATCGTGTACCTAACGAATAGAACTTAAATTAGAATGAACTGGAAGATTATGTACTGACAACTGGTGACTATGTTACAACAATTGTAGCCAATACTACATAGCTGTATTAATCTACAATTTTTGTCTTAGTTCTCCTTAACCTTAGCATTATTTTAGTACAAATGTAGTTTTACATATTGTAATAGGCTACAACTAACGTCAACCTGACTAGATTTTTAATTACCATTTCTATGACTCTTGCAGTAGTAATTTAGTAAATTATACTTTTACAAAATTTAAATCTTAACGTATCAAAAAATATCCGTGTATTTCTACCTATGAAGTTGAGCATTAGCGAAGATACATTCATTAATTCTGTCTTAATTACTTTACAGACAGTAATATCGATACTAGCAATTTACACCTTCCAGAAATTAATTTTTCCTCAGCAATAAACGGATTTACGTTAAAGTGCTTTATTTGACTCCAAATCGAAGAAAAATTTTAAGATTTCCTCTATTTAGGGAATACTTTTGTCTATTTTGACATTATAGCCTATTATCACAACACCTACAATTATCACGATAAATATATACAGGATAATGACTCTAACTTTGGCAATTTTTATCATGATTTTGAACCCTAATGAATGAAGTGCTTATTGCTAAAAGGTGGATGATATGATATTTAGATAGAAATTAACCAAATTGACTATAATATATATAATATATATACAAGAATACTATTAGTATAACACTATTAGTATGTCAATTCCAAAGCAGGTTTTTATCTCGAGTAGGATAAGCAAAGCTAAATAATTCCAGTAGAACTGAATATTTGGGATTCGTTAACTTTCTGGAAAATAATATCATAACGGCCATAAATGCTATATAGCACAAAATTTTTCAATTATTTATATCTTCCAATACGCATTATGTACACGTATCATCGGATATGTTTAAATAGGAGCCACCTTACAACAAAGAAGCGCGCCTGCATATAAACATCGAAAATATTGTTAGTGTTATGAAATTACAGCTTGCTCTTAAGTGAATAATTTATACTCGCATTTACCACTTCACAAATCCAAGTATTGATCTTTTTTATTATTATATTCGTACTGAATATGGCAATCGGGAAGAACGTATGTACACATGTAGGAATATAACAAGAGGAATGTTCACATTTGTAGCTTAATGCTAACATTCAAAATCTCAGATTTGACACATTTGGCAAATATTGAATCCGGTTCGATTTTGCTTATTGCAGTGAAATTACCCTCAAGTCATAGTTAAATGACTATAATAATTTTTGAAGTACACCTATTTAACCACAATGTAGGCTTGTACTGAAGCTTAATTTAAAATGTTATTTCCTAGCCGAAAATTGACAAATTTCTAAATTTTAACATAGTAAAGCGTTCATTAATTAAAAGAAGCACTAAAAAAGCTATAAAAATTGATATTGATAACGCTTATTTATGCTAAATGCGCTATAATGCGCTATCTTACTAGCATCAAATTTATAATTAATTCATTTACGAATACATCATAACATAAAATTCTACACTATTAAAATTAAACTAACATAAATGTGTTCATTTAGTTTAAGAGTTGCGACCAATTAATGACGGAAGTAGTGCTAGAATTTTGTATTAGCATTACATAAAAATAATTAAAATGCTAATTAAATAGTAAAAACTACTAATTTGTTTATAGAATATGTAACATGCGTAGAGTAATGTTGTCACTACTAGTATAGGATACAAGAATACCTGAGCGTATCAAACAGTTGATAATTCTGAAACTTACGGATAAAATAACCACAAAAACTAGCAATATTGAATATTCGACCAGGCTGTAATAATTAATTGAAAGAGCATGCAAACTACTAGCATGCGCGTATAATAGGCAAAGAGGCTATTGATTTAACAATTACAGATATATTCAATATCATAAATTACTAAAATTTATTAGATGGAACACTTTGAAAGATGGTTTCCGTGCAGTGATGCTCAAAATAGACCATATCAATAGCCATAGCTAACCTTTATCATTTCCTATAACATTCACTTGACCAAACAGTTTTAGAACATCGCATTCATCTAAGCAGTGTTCTCGCTTGGATTGGTTGTTGCCCCGGCAGTTAATTGACGTAGCACTAATTTTTTATAAACACCACCTTGTTCTATTAATTGATCATGGGTTCCTTCTTCAACAATTCTGCCTTTGTCTATAACTAAAACCTATATACGTACATCAATACAAATATTTAGGATTGGATGAATAACTTAATACGCAGTTTTTAAATCAAAACCTATAAATAAAATATTAATGGCTATTGCAAAAAATATGGAGTAGGCATGCTGTCAAGTACTAATGAGATAAAGATGTGGTATTCAGTATCTTGCGATTGTGTCCACGTAAAAGTTAAAAATAACATTATTTCAACTACAAAAGGTTGAAAATTACTTTCAATACGCGGTGAACTAAATATAAACTTTAGATCAGATACCTTTGAAGCACTTCGAACAGTAGACAAGCGGTGAGCAATGACCAAGACGGTTCTTCCATTCATAGCTCGATCAATAGCTTCTTGCACAAGATACTCGCTTTCAGCGTCAAGCGCGCTTGTGGCCTATCGTAGAATAGGTTCAAGCATAGTATTAATTTAATCGGAGTTCAAACGTAGCATTTACCATAAATTATTAATATGAAGGAGTGAAACTAAGTTAAACACCTCATCCAGAAGTAACAAAGAAGGATTCTTAATTAATGCTCTAGCGATAGCAACTCTCTGCTTCTGACCACCAGATAATCGAACTCCCCGTTCACCAACAAGTGTATCATAACCTTCCTAAAATATTAACACAAATTTATAATAATGTTGGGTGAATCTTCAGTAAGCAATACTTGACCATAGGCGCTATAACATTTACAAAATTTCTTTCATTTCCTTATGCTTACGCTAAAAGATGTGATAAAGTCGTGGGCGTTTGCCTGCTTCGCAGCTTCTTCGATCTATAAATAAGAAATTTAAATTATTATCATTACAATAATAAAGGACATAAAACATTGCACAATCTGTGATACCTCGGATCGAGTTGCATCGCATCCGTACTGAATGTTATCATAAATCGAACAAGCAAATAAAATTGGTTCTTGGCTAACTAAACCGATATTATCTCGGAGCCAAACTGCATCGACATTTCTTAGATCATCATCGCCTAGAATTATATTTGAACAGTTTACATAAGTAGGTTACGTTTCGCACTCAGTATTCTGGGCATTAAGATATAGCTTCATCTGATTTCTATCAGATACCATTTATAGAATACGATATATCAATGTACCTAAAGCAATAGACCCAGTATTCGGATGATAGAACTGCTCGATGAGATTAACCGTGGTGGATTTACCGCCACCTGAAGGTCCCACAAGTGCAACCATCTCACCAGGTTTAATTTTAAAGTTAATGTCCTAAAATCATTCCGTGAATTAAAGTACATTTCTACCGTATTAGATCGTATTTGTTGATTTATTATCATTTATAGAAATTATTGCATAATCCCATACAGCAATAGTACGCTATATTAGACTTGAAATGAAATAATGTACCTTGAGTACTTCCGTATCAGATCTAGCTGGATACTTGAAAGACACTTCTTTAAATTCCAATACTTTAAAAACCAATCAATTCAATTATTCTTCTACTAAGCATAAAACGACAAATGACATTACGTAGCGAAATGTTACAAGTTTTATTACCTCCCTGAAACTTTTGTGGTTTCAAGCCACCTTCTAACTTAAGTTCAGGATCACGATCCATCAGTTCAAACATTCTTACCGATGCACCAACGGCCTTTGTGTAAAGGTTTTGCGAGTATCATCAAAAAATAATACGTTATTTAAAATAGATCGATTATGACTAGTTTTATTAATATATTGTCTGGCCATAGAACTATCGAAAAATTGTTTTAGGTTATTGACAACTAAAAGCATCCGATTGAGGGAAATTATATCGCGAATATCTAAATTAGTCGATATCTCAATTTATTTACTATATTTAGATGTTAAGCCTTTAGAATAAGTTTAAAATAAATCAAGTTGTAAGAAATTAAGCGAACCTGCATAAAGTCACCATATAACGATGTAATAAAGGCAAAAGCCATGGCTACATTTAAAGCGTATAGCATAAAAGCTATTCGAAATTAAATCAATCTTTTAATACGTTGCCAAATTCATAGGCTTAGCAAATGACTATTAATAGGGATTTATGACTATAATATTTGCTCACAGGTTAATAGACCAGCAGTTAAATGACCCTCTAAAACTTGCTTTGCTCCAAACCATAGCACCAAGACGATTGCACCCTATTGAAAAGTTGGTACATTTGCAATGGATAGAGAATCAATACTTTTAAATACGAAATGGTCAGATGAAGTTAAAATCAAGGTATTACCTGAGCAAATATCCCCATGTATCCATTAAATAAGCCTATGCATATCGTAAGATAAAAAATTTATGAAGTTACCTAAGATTATAGTCTAATAATTTCGTGAATATTTTTTGTTTGACCCACCAGTATATAAAGCTAACTTTCGGCCGATGTTATAACTATTTTCAATCATTTCTCCGTAATGGTTCATTGTCTTTTTTTCACCGTTAAATGACCGTACGGTCCTAATATTACCGATAGTTTCCTCAGCCACATTTGAGGCATTTGCTAATTCATCTTGAAATTTCTTTCGCAAATCTCTTAGTTTTCTTCCTGTAATCGAATTGATAAATGTATCATTTAACCAAAAAGAAGCCCCAAGTGGAGCAATAAGGTATTGATACAATTTTTATTATTTAGTAATGAGGAGAATTCAATATACTGTATAAATTTAAATAATATTTTATGGCTGAGTTGCTTAATTCATAAGTACCATAAAGGACTGCCATGATAGCAATAATCGGCACAACAGCCAGTAGTACACCAGTAACAGATGGGCTTAGAATAAACATGACAATCAATGAACCAATAATTTGCAATATATAACGCAGTAACATTGAAATGTTGACCTGTACCATAATAGAAACATATAAAGAGGTTATTAGGATAGATCATTACATCTTTGTAACTATAAATGAAACATTAAAAGGTTTTAGATCTATTAGTTATCACTCGAGAACAGTGAATGAACAAGTGCCATGATTTACTATATTACTAGCGAGTAGAGATGGCTTCAACATAATACTATATTCAGTATCAGTTTTATTAAATATCATTTCGAGGTAGCATAGGCAAAATTTGGGAAATTAATCATAAAGTAGAGAAATTTCAATTAGGGCCAATAATAATATTATCATGAAATGAGATAGAAACACTACTTATAACTTCGCTACGATAAGATCCAACTACAGAGTTGAGGTTTATATTCAAAGAGGCATGGAAAAGCAAGATTGAAACAATTTATTACTCACAGTAACAGCGTTTTGTATGACGGCAGTATCGGATGACAGCCTATTCGTTAATTCACCAGTTCTATTCTTATCGAAAAATCCGATTTCTTGCACGATAATGGCATTAAATAGCTAAAGCATAATAAATAAACATCATTAGAAAGAATACCATTGACATAATAAAGCTTAACAGTTGATAGTACAACAATGGACAAGTGCACGTTTACCATTTTCCGAATTCTTGCCACTAATCGTTCACCAGCTAAAGTGAATAACCAAGAACGGAAAAAGCTAGCAATGGATCCACCGACGTAAATTGCAAGTAGAATCACCACCGTTGTATTTAGACCTCCTGGTAAAACAATGAGATCGATAGTTTAGCGTGTTGTGATTTCAAACATAAACATTTCGATTTCGAGCAAATTACGTTCTTAATGAATGGATAGTAAACAAAGTGAACAAGGAAACTTGGCCTAGTGAGCCACTAACACGGTCTATAACTTTAGATCGATGAGTATTGACAAATGATTAATAAAGTAAATAGCACTGATTAACTAATTATAGTTTATTTTAATAAATTGATACATAGATGCATATGACTACTTCGTTGAAGTAGTAGCCACAGAATTACAGCTTCAGTTTACGCGTCTTAACTAAAATTGCATTAGATACTTTTATCAGATTGTATTAATTCATTTTTAAAATTTTAGTTACTGTTTTGTCAACTAATGTATCCTTGTGTAATATGAACAACGGAGAATACCAGCGATTTATGTTCGCTATTTAATTAAACGGTATCTTTTCGGTGTCTATATGACTGCTTAGTAACGTAAACATAGATAGTGGCTAGCTTACGATTTTTATCTACTGAAATTAAAATTGGTCATGATTAGCCATGAATCTTTAAGACATGTGAGAAAATCTCAATCGAGAACTATCAGTGTTTTTATAGCGAGTCCAAGTGAGTAAATTCTTGTCGAAAAAATGTGAGAAAGATACATGTGTAAATAAATATCACTCCTACGATTGAATGTTTCTAAAACAAGAAGATAGAGCAAACCTTCGTTGCGAGTAATAGCATTATTGATAACTTGACCAAAGAAATAAGGAGCGATCATTAAAGTACCGCTCGATACTAGCAAGGCTAGAACACCACCAAGTATAATCCAAAATTCCTATAATGAGTTGGGAAAGAGTTTGAGGATCAAAGTTGTAAGTGTATGCTTGGTGTCATTTGCATAGGTAAGTACGTTATTAACAGTCAATAAACATACAGGTAATTCACCAATTATAATGATTGACATCTTTTCGTAACGGTACAAATTTGCATTCTACAACGTATAATGTGCAGTTGCGTCTGCTTGTATGCTTAGATTATAGTATGTTTACTAATTCTTTTTTTGATACTTGCTACTAAGTACAATCACAACAAGACTACTATCGAGCGACATCTAACCTCTTTAGCTAAACCAAGAACTCGACGCAAATTAGCTGTGCCTTTCGAAGGATTAAATTTTCGATATTGTCCAACGCGACTGATTAAAGTATTGGCTGGTAAAGTAGCTACTAATTCGATGAGGGTAAAGACAAGTGAGGCAATAGCACAACCGACATAACTGGAATTCATGGCTGCTCGATCGGCCTTGGAAGCCGGTAAATAAAGAAGGATTAATTTTGCCATAGAATAGGCCATAAATCCTAAAGTGAAAAGGATTGAAAGAAATAACACTATTGTTTTCCTTCGTAGTAAGCCGGTACCGCGCGGATGATCGATGATGATTGCAGCAGTATCTTCAAATCTTGTCCATAACAAGAATAACAAGATCATTCTAGCTAAAGCTAAACACGCTAAATCAAACACCGACGTGGTGATCGTAAAATGAAATATACTCTTTCTTAACTGAGTAGAATCACCACCGGCTAGCCATAAAGTAACACAAGTAATACCGTCGATCAATAGAATTAAGCGTAAAAGGTTATTATATCGCATAAACGGCAATGTGAACGGCTTGAGTATTTTAACACGGACTTCAGCTTCATCCGTTTGGGTATTCCCTCCATTCACTTTATCGTTATTATTAATGAGATAACGAGTATCATGATTCTGATCAATTTCAATGGAGTCACTGGTCTGGCTAGAACTCATCTTGGTATAGAATACGTCGAATAGCAAAGTAGAAACGATTCCACAGCAAGATTGGATGGGTTGGAGACCAACAGATTGTTGAAATTCTTCAAGTTGAGAGCGCGACGAACGAGGGGGGGGGGGAGAAAGTGCAGCAAGATTTGGCCGTCGACGCGTTTATATACTACCGTAGACGATGTGGTAGGGGTGACACTATGGATGAGCACGTCCACGTATGGTGACGCTCTGAACGTACACCGGTCGCCTGTAACCAATAAGATAATGCATATTGAATGACTCTTTTTAAGGTGACGGTGTTCCTTTGTATGTCCGTCACCTAGACAGTGTATGAAATACAATACGGGCGTGAGACCGGCTGATTGACAATGGTGCACGACACCCTCTACTGCGGCGGCGTACGATTGACTTTGGGCTATGGATGGCTGACTCTACAGCCTACTACCCTACTGGTTCATACAGTAGGTGTGATTTCTTACTCTATCCTATAGCCAATCGTGTTGTACTCCTTTTACTACAGCATTTTTGCGTCACCCATGACATCATGCTAACTGACCCCAAAAATGGAAACGTGGACGTTGTCCTAATGTCATAACATAGCTGTACCAAACAATCCTAACAGTCAGTACTAGCAATGGAGAATCCCCACTTGTCCTCCATCTTTCTTTATTGACCGATCAATCGGTTAATTTATGCTTCGTCATTTTACTTCTACTGTAAACCAACTATATAATAAGCTTTTACAAAGCTAGGTGGCATTGTAATCAATCAATCGGCACCATTTAATCGTTCAAATACTGCTCTATTTACTTATTTCTTTCTATTTCATATTGCTTGAACCATAAACCAACTACGTCAACAAGCTTATACAAAGCTACGTAGCATTATAATCAATCGATCCACTCCATTTAGTCGGTCAAATGCTACTCTATTAACTTATGTATTTCTATCTCATTTTGCAACTACGTCAACAAGCTTTTACAAAGCTGTGTAGCATTATAATCAATCGATCCACTCCATTTAGTCGGTCAAATGCTACTCTATTAACTTATTTATTTCTATCTCATTTTGCAATTACGTCATCAAGCTTTTACAAAGCTACGTAGCATTATAATCAATCGATCTACTCCATTTAGTCGGTCAAATACTACTCTATTAACTTATTTATTTCTATCTCATTTTGCAATTACGTCAACAAGCTTTTACAAAGCTGTGTAGCATTATAATCAATCGACCCACTCAATTTAGTCTGTTAAATACTACTCTATTAACGTTTTTCTATGTTGCGTTGCTTGTACCGTAAACCAACTACATGCTACGTAGCTTTTACAAAGCTACGTAGCATTATATCAATCGATCCACTCGATTTAGTCGGTCAAATACTACTCTATTAACTTATGTATTTCTATCTCATTTTGCAGTTACGTCAACAAGCTTTTACAAAGCTGCGTAGCATTATAATCAATCGACCCACTCAATTTAGTCTGTTAAATACTACTCTACTAACGTTTTTCTATCTCGCGTTGCTTGTACCGTAAACCAACTAAGTCATCAAGCTTTTACAAAGCTACGTAGCATTATAATCAATCGATCCACTCCATTTAGTCGGTCAAATGCTACCCTATTAACTTATTTATTTCTATCTCATTTTGCAACTACGTTAACAAGCTTATACAAAGCTACGTAGCATTGTAATCAATCGATCCACTCGATTTAGTCGGTCAAATGCTACTCTATTAACTTATTTATTTCTATCTCATTTTGCAATTACGTCAACAAGCTTTTACAAAGCTGCGTAGCATTATAATCAATCGATCTACTCAATTTAGTCTGTTAAATACTACTCTGTTAACTTTTTTCTATGTTGCGTTGCTTGTACCGTAAACCAACTACGTCAACAAGCTTTTACAAAGCTACGTAGCATTATAATCAATCAATCCACTCCATTTCGTCTCTTAAATACTACGCTATTAACTTCTTTCTATCTCGCGTTGCTTCTACCGCAAGCAAAGTTAATTACGTCAATAAGCTTCTTCTTACAAAGCTACGTAGCATTGTAATCAATCGATCCACTCAATTTAGTCGGTCAAATACTACTCTATTAACTTATTTATTTCCATCTCATTTGGCAATTACGTCAACAAGCTTTTACAAAGCTACGTAGCATTATGATCAATCAATCCACTCCATTTCGTCTCTTAAATACTATTCTATTAACTTCTTTCCTAACTTTCTTAACTTCTTTCTATCTCGCGTTGCTTCTACCGCAAACCAAGTTAACTACGTCAATAAGCTTATTCTATAAAACTTCGCAGCATTGTAATCAATCAATTAGCTCAATTTAGTCTCTCAAATACTACTCTATCAACTCCTTTCTATCTCGCTTTGCTTCTACTGTAAACCAACTGCGTCAATAACCTTTTAAAAATAACAAAGCTACGTAATATTATGATATAAACTAAGCCAAACCAAACTATAAATAGATCCTTTTATACGGATATGTTGCAAGAGTAGTTTCAGCAGTTACTTGCAGTTAACAGATCATCTATAAAAATACGCCAAGGGTAACACTGGTAGTCTACTTCCTGGTAGAGCTTAAATCGTTTTCAAGTAGATAGTACATAGAAGTTGTCGACCATGCTGGACATGAGTGAGGATAGAGCGCTCATCTATTGGCATGTCATAGATCGATAATGTTATTAATCCATAGCAACTTTGCTGCAGTAGAAGCTTATGCTTACTCCCAAGTCCAATAGGCAAGGCACAACCTGAATCTAAATCCCATACCATTTAATATGATCATTCTAAATTATCCCGGTAAAATGCACAATCACGATTACTTAGTGGCTTCGAGTATATAATAAGGGACGTATGTATGGCATGCAATTTTCATCGTATGCAAATCATAATGAATCTTAAATCACAGCTTGCGACGATTTACAGTACTACTCTATATTTTAGGTCGACATAAAATTGATGACAGAAAATCCCCCAATTTTTATACATTTGTTTTCAGCCCAAAATCATGAAAAATACCAAGTCCAATTAGACCTGAGAAAGGTTGGGTTACATGACTATGACAGTGCATCGTAAAGAATCACCACAACGACATTACAAGGTAGTAGCACGCGTCTAGAAATATACTGTATCAATCATCGAATCCCGATTGAATGGAAAGATAGATATTAGCACCCAATATTTGACTATGCATGAATCAATGCATTACCAGGCACTTCTGATGATAGCAAATGTCTCTCTTCTGCTTCTGTGGTAGGCTTACATGACTATGACAGTGCATCGTAAAGAATCACCACAACGACATTACAAGGTAGTAGCACGCGTCTAGAAATATATTGTATCAATCATCGAATCCCGATTGAATGGAAAGATAGATATTAGCACCCAATATTTGACTATGCATGAATCAATGCATTACCAGGCACGTCTGATGATAGCAAATGTCTCTCTTCTGCTTCTGTGGTAGGCTTACATGACTATGACAGTGCATCGTAAAGAATCACCACAACGACATTACAAGGTAGTAGCACGCGTCTAGAAATATACTGTATCAATCATCGAATCCCGATTGAATGGAAAGATAGATATTAGCACCCAATATTTGACTATGCATGAATCAATGCATTACCAGGCACTTCTGATGATAGCAAATGTCTCTCTTCTGCTTCTGTGGTAGGCTTACATGACTATGACAGTGCATCGTAAAGAATCACCATAACGACACTACAAGGTAATAGCACGCGTTTAGAAATCTACTGTATCAATCATCGAATCCCGATTGAATGGAAAGATAGATATTAGCACCCAATATTTGACTATGCATGAATCAATGCATTACCAGGCACTTCTGACGATAGCAAATGTCTCTCTTCTGCAACTGTGGTAGAGGCCTTGGCAAGGCGCAATTTACGCCATACAATTTTCGACGCCATCTTGCCATCGAAGTGAATCGCGCGATCAGTACTATACAGACAGTACTACAGTACGGTATAGTACTGTGCTTTACAGTACACTGTACTGTACCGTATTGTACCACACACCGCTGCTGTCGCAGGGAGAAATCTTGAGGTGGTGTTTCGAGGCTTCTTTCCTGTTTAAATTGACTTTGGCAATTGTACTGGATTGGCAAGAAATGGCGATGGACTACCTCGATTATAGCATTAACCTCTTAAATCTGCCGGATGAAGTAATCGAATTCATTATAACTACAAGCAGCTTAGGACTTTTAGATATTATCCATGTATCTGCGACTTGTAAGCAGCTGCGAGACATTGCTTGCAGTTCCACTGTTTGGCAACATCTTTCAAGATCAAGGTTGGTCCATTTGTGGTTAATATATATATATGTTACCTATACATATATATTTATTTGATATGCGTACAACTGCTACTATTACTAATATTGCTTATGAGTAGACCTGACTAAGCGTTATGGCTATTCTACGCTCTCGAATAAAGTAAATTGTTCGTGGAAAGAGCGAAACTAGTACTATGAAGAATTGCTAATGCTGTCACTCTTGATCATTCCTTGCAATCGATACTATTCATTACACCGGCTGTACTCAATATTGACCAATAATTAATTAATATATAATTAAGAAGAGATTGGTACAGTAGCCATGGAATAGTAGAACCTGCAGTAGACTTACCTTTAGTGCTAGCCAATTTACCTTCCGTACAACCTGTATTACATTATTTGTCATTTATAGGATTATATCAGGTCATAGACTACTACAAATAGACCAGTTCTATTTTTAATGGTCCATAATCAAATACTCAATGCTTACGGTAGAGTAAGGTAACAGTGGACCTGCAATAGATTCACCACTAGTGCTAGCCAATTTACATTCCTTACAAGTTGTATTACATGACTTATCATTTATATCAAGTCATAGACTACTAAAAATAAAACGATTCTACTGAATACTAGTCCATGATCAAGTACTCAACGTTTACGGTAGAGTAATGCAACAGTGGACATGCAGTCGACTCACCATCAGTGCTAGCCTATTGATATTCTGTACACTTGTATTACATGTCATTTATATCAAGTCATGGACTACTAAAATAAAACAGTTCTATTTTTAGTAGTCCATGATCAAGTACTCAATGTTTGCGGTAGAGTAAGGCAACAGTGGATCTGCAATGCACTCACCATTAGTGCTGGTTAAGTTACATGCCTTGCAAGTTGTGTATTACTGTATATTACTTGTCATTTATATCAAGTCATAGACTACTAAAAATAAAACGATTCTACTTTTACTAGTCTATGATCAATTACTTAATGTTTATGGTAAACTACCGGGTAGAGTAATGCAACACTGGACCTGCAGTGGACTCACCATTAATGCTAGCAAATTGACATTTTGTACAACCTTTATTACATTACTTGTCGTCGATACCAACTACTCAATGTTTACGAATAAGATCAGTACAGTACTGAATCATAGTAAATTTTTATTCCGTTCAACCTGTATTACATGACTTGCCATCTATCAAGTTCTACGTGACTGATACTCAAATCTAGCAGAAAGTTGTCAATACTATGTTTAATTAGAATGATTTTAAGTCTTAAATGAATAACCTATACAGTACCTGCTTAGAGTAGTTGATTATTCAACGCTGCCTATCAGTTGCTAAAGTAAATGAATTTATTTGAATACTTTGTCCAAATTGCTGATATCAGGTGGTCAAAATGGAGTCCTAAATTAACTGGTCTTGTACTAGATTGGTATCAAATATACAAAGCAAGACATAAGTTGGAGTCTCAATTCCAAGTTGAATTAGCCCAGATGAATGAAAAATATTTCAATGATGATATATTACCCCGTCAGGCTTATCAAGCTTTTGTTAATTTGATACTAAGTGACGATCACAACATTGCCACGGAAACATTGTATGAATATTTAGCCACCATTTTATCTGATAAAAGGTAAGAAACGCGATAATATGATGATAATATTCAACTACTTATGCTTACATACTACTGCTTCAGTAAACCTTTTTGCTATTCTTAGACGTTAACTTTTCCGGTCTAATTTATGTAACGTAAGCGAATGACAGAGATACACAATTATTATACGTATCATTCATTTTAGCTTACGATTCAGTTATCTTCTTTGCTATTCCTCTTTGTAGACTTTACAGGATTATTCTATGTAATAGAATCAAGTGATGAGAACTAACTATTATACATTTCATTCATTTTAGCTTAATAAATAGGATAATTACTTGTTTTTGAAAAAGTAATGTTCTTGCAGCACGTAGTAATTATAATAAAGTTACCATCTTTTCCTTAACCCGAACATGTCTTCCATGATTAATATCGTTATCCTTGAAATTGCAGTCAACATAATTTAACGTTGAAATATTACGGGAAAAGAGTATTCAATAATGTTTGCCTCCAGTCAATATTGAAAGAATTTTTGCAAATGGACGATGATAAAATAAACTTGGAGGAAGGTGCTGTTATCATTTCAACATGGTTAATGCCATCCTTGGGTATAGTGCATGAAGATAGCGTGTATAAACAATTGGATTCAATTGCTTACCAGGTGCAAAAGAAGCTGATAAATACCAAGAATGGTCAACAACTTTTAGAAAGGTTTCAAAATTCAAATGGCTATGGTACGTAAATCAAATAAATATATTATGATGTTCATGTTTATAAATTATTTGTCCTTGATGTAGCTATAGACTATCATTTCATCTAGCCGACAACTGATTAATATAGGATGGTGTACGTAACCATCATTATTCTATTCTTGCTGCATTTCATTAGTTTATACTAGCTTGTCGTAACTTCTTGAGTCAGATAATGTTATTTATTAAGTACACTTTTATTATATCTACTAACAATAAATAATTACCCTACAAATGCACGCAACCGCACATCAATAGGAACACCGTAATTATCTGTAAAAATTTTTCCTGGCAAAAATTAGTCTCTTAATTTGCTGTACCTTTCTTGATTACTACTACTTGCTATTAAATCTATTGTCAAGATTATAATATAAATAATTCGATAAAATATAATGAGTGGTTTTACAAGATATATTTTTCTGATTTCAGTCACCGATTACAATTACTGTCGTAATGTACTATCAGCAATGAATGAAGTTCTATACAATGACCTAAATTTTCGCGGAAATCGCACCAATTACTATGATGATCGAAATTCGTTTATTGATCAGGTAGTTCCATTTTACACTTGAAATTGACTATATATTTCAATTACCTTCATTTACAATATGCCAAGAGCAACAGTAACGACTGAAACAAGTCTTACATTTTTCAAGGTTTTACATCGTCGGATAGGAATTCCTATAAGTCTATGCATCATTTATCTTGCTATTGCACGAAGGCTGAAAGTCAAACTGGATCCGGTAATTCCATTCTTATCTGTTATCGGAAAAAATTGCTATTATAGAATGAACACCGTCACAGAATGAGAATATAACGAATTATATCCATATTCGTTCAATCTCTAGTATTTCAAGGGTTACGTAAATGAATAACTGATAATATTTTATAGCTCCAAAATATAAAGGCTTATTAAGTAATACATTAACCTAGCAATTTCACATTAAATAGTTAATTATTCAACTAAATGTTTTGGTCACGCACTCTTTTAGATCGGTTTTCCTGGTCATTTCTTATTACGCTTGCAACATTCTGAAACGTACGTAATATGATTGAGGAAAAATTTCCTTATTCAATATGTAAAATAAATAAAGTACAGTGCATACTCGTATATCAAGTATTTATAAACCATTATTACTTTAATATGTCTATAGTATGAATCTATTATCAAATATTGGCATCTAAATTAGTAATGTTTGTGCAAAATATTTCTTTCTGATTAGAGTTTATGGCGATGCTACTACAGCTGAAGTATTCATTGATGCTTTCGACCATGGTAAATTGCTCAATCAAAATGAAGCATTTGATATGTCACCTAACCCATCACATAAGAAAATTGAACTCTTACAACCTATTAAAAACAGACAGGTGATAATAAGTTAATGTACCGTGTATATTTTCTACCTCAATGTATGTTAATAAACCTAAGCAACAGAAACAGAGTGTTTCTAGTACTGCGTTGTTTAGAAAATTTTTGTATCGTAATCTTAATGAAATTGTCCTATTTTCTAGGTACTAGCCAGAATGGTTAGAAATCTCACTAATATCTATCAGAACAACTTTAGGCGTCAAAACATGTAATTTCATTATTACTAGATTTCTTTATTTCTAATATCCTTTTACTACAGAGTCTACATTTTGAATACAAAATAATAGGACTCTTATAAATCAATATTATTTCTTACAGAAATAATGATCCTTCGTTTGCAACATTTTAATAGGTTAACTGCCTTAATTAATTCGCTACGCTTGATATTGCTCTTGTGTCCTGAAGATGAAGATAATCATTCCTTTTTAACACGATTGCTTTACCATTTTCACGTTTACGATGAAGAGGTCGATCATCTTTCTTGCTACAGTTTAGCGGATAAATATAAATTTCATTTGTTTTATTATTTTCAATTTTTTATTTAATTCTCGCAGGTGATCAGAAGTGCAGAAGAGAAAGCGAAGAGCGGAATTTTTAAATTAAACCTTGGGCACTTAGATAGCTTAGAAAGGATGAAAGAATTAAAACAAAAATCCCGTAAACATGAGGTAGATGGTTGTTTGATTGGTATTCAAGTGTAGTAATTTGCTTAATATTTAGTTGCTTCAATCTTATAGTTGAAAGTTAAGCGTCGGCCGCCACATGTCAATTTACCAACAAATGTGATATACAAAGTTGGAATGATGATGCAACATCGAAGGTTGGCATACTATCTTAATCAAATTAGACATAATAACAGTATTAGCAGAGTTATATTGGTACGATTATTAATATTATACAATATAACTAATATATCAGAAAATCCTGATTAATATACATGATTTACACGGTCAATTAGCTATCAGCGTTATTATCAATACTTGAAATATCTTTGTTTTAGATATAACTATACGTGTGTAATATATGGCTGGGATTATGAATGCAGAATGACCCAGGCTTGGGTTACACAAATGGGAGTTGATATGTTACCGAATGGAACTAAACAACCCTTTTATAATGTTCTTGTAGAAGATGGTTCACAGCGTTATGCTGCCCAAGGTAAGGGGTCTTGTTAAGCATTCTTCGCGATGGATTTACCATTCATTCATGAATTCCTTTGCTATTTTTTTCTTGCATATTAGAAAATCTACGACAAATTGAAGAACAAATCGAACCATGCCCTAACGCAGAAGTTGGCAAGTTCTTTCAATCGTTCACTGGTACAAATTATGTGCCCAATGACCAATTGCGAATTCGTTATCCAGACTACTAAAGCAGCGGGCGTATGAAAATTTTATTGTAAAATTATATCCGAGTTATTGTATTATCGTGTATAAGTGTTTAATCCGTTACTCTACGATGAATATAAATTACCAGGCTGGATCGTGAGATAAGCCAGTTCTGTATTCGATTTACATCGGATGCTATCAACTATAATTTACTTAATGATTCGAAGGCTGGAACTGTAACGGTTAAAAAATCTCTTCTTTAATAACACACTACTCTTTTATCTATATTATTTAAAATAAGTCTAAATTTATCACACGAAAGATATTCCATGTCAACATGGACTTCGCTAAGTAAATTATGCAACTCCCTACTGTGAGTATATTGAAATAAGAGTTTATTAAGATAATACAAACTCCGTTTATCAGATATGCAAATTGGTTAGTCATTACTAATTATGTTACCAATTAGAGAAGTTTAATTAATGCAATAATTTTCCTTGAAAGCGATTTAAAAGGCTAATTGTGGAATTAACAATCTGTATTATACGACAATTTATGGAAATAGAAGTTCTCAATAATTAGGTTTCAATGTAGTAAATTAATGCGTACTTGTTTGTACAATAATTGCATTTCTGTACGTATACTGTACATCTTTATACATGTAGTACTGTCGAGCATTTCATTTTCAAATCAACATGCGGAACTAGTTAAAAATAAAAAAAACTCTAATATTACAAATGATGCTAAAATCTCAAGACTAAAATTATTAAAATCAGCTTTAAGTGATTAGCAAAAGCTATAACTTTCGTAATATTGTAATACGCAGAATACTAGCATGTAAGTGCATACAGTTTGCTTTATTCAAATTTAACAAATATGAATATGGATAATTTATTTTTTGATCGTTTAAAAGATAGCATTTGTCGTAGGGCAGAGTGCGATCACTGCTAATCTCAACAGTATAAATATGCGTATACCCTTTACTTGTATACAAGTGCTTGAAAAGGTGTAATGTACAAAGCTATTTCATAAATTAAGATAACATAATATTCACATACCCGTATAATTACTTTACAATAGCGCAGATATTTATACATGCCTGGCTGTAGTACAGAATTAGTAATACGTAAAATGTATTATAATCTTAATGTCCGCAAGATTAGCATTGAAACATACGCAAGGTGTAATTGAAATAATACACCGAAAAATACCGTAGTAAAATGGTCAAAAATAATTTGGAAGTAGGGTGCTATAAGTTAAAATATTATTAGGGTAAAATTAGAATTTAGGACTAGGGCAAAATATTATATACTGTTAACATGCCTATATGAGTAAGTACAGCACGAGAATAGGGCATACTACATGTGAAAGTAATACTTTCATATAAGTTCTAACTGGCTTTATGCAACAGTCATTCTTCTAAACATTTGGCAAATAAGATATGGCTAAATTAGTGTATATAGATAAGTTGATGATCGTTGTAAATGATAATATATATAATGCCATGTTATAAACTAGCCAGCTAAATCATAATTTTTATTTCTGGTATAAAATAGTATATAAAAATAGGAATATGTTTCCATAAAGTTGAAAAATAAGAGTTATGTTAATTATCTTAATCGTCCGGATAACGAATAGATAATTCCTGATTCAGAATGTATCTTTCGCCATCAAACGATTGAAAATATTTGCCAACCTCAGGATGACAGCATGTGGATTTTTGTCCTTCTACTTCCACAAGATTTTCTATAAAATTAGAAGGAATTTAGCAATTATAGCGGTTATAATTAATCAGCATAATCTAATTTTGAAGAATACTAATGCTTGCCTTGTGCAGCATATCTTTCTGAATTATCTTGAGCAAGTATGTAATAGAATGGCTGTTTTGCATTAGTAACTGGTGAATCAACTTTGATTTGCTTTATTCGATTTTGAGTAATTTTACGTTGATAATCCCAGCCATGAATGACACCAGTCCAACCGTCACTTTCGTTAATAAATAATGTTGAAATAAAAGTAATTAAGATCATACCAACATGAAATCGTAAAGAAAAATTAGCATTTTTGTAAACAACCTTATTATTATCTCTACGAGTATCGAAAATAAAAACTTATAACAATAATATCAAATATGTTATAGGTAACAATTTATAGATACCTTCTATGTTTTACTATAGTTCCAATTCGGAAAAGAATAGTAGCAGATGATTCCAAGGATCGATACTTAACTTTCGGCTAAAATGAGATATTTCCGAATGAGCAACTTTGTTCTTACAAGCATCTAATGGGTATAACATTATGGTATCTGCTGCTTAATATCGAATTTGTATATGATTTACCTCAGCAGGTATATGCTTTATATCTTTTAGGCGATTTAGACAAGTTAAGTGGCGTGGATTGATTTCGAATATGCCAGCTCTCGCTTTTTCGAATGCACTTTCAACAACCTGACGATTTGGTAAGTAAATTAAAAATTTATTAAATAGTGGTTGAAAAATTGTTCCACAACTCACTTATACCTCATCGTCATAAACACAATAATCGAGATAGATACGGGATAGAACTCCGTGATTTTCCTCATCTTCTGGATAAATAAGTACCACCAGCTGAAGATAGCTCGTTAACACTTTGTATCTAGATTAGAAAGAATCAGTTATTATCATAACAATTCTATAATACTATTACATATGTAAATTTGATAAACAGCATCGTTCAGAATCCGATAGTGTATGCTATGCTATATAACCGAGGACATAAATTAGAATAATTTTATTATTTTTGAAGCAGCAACTTTTGAAATTTACGTTTTTCCGTTTCTATATTTATTCATGCAGCTGTTGGTTAGATTTCTCGCAATTGCGCGTAAAAACTGCCATGACATTGAGATGAGAAAAGAAACTTATTTGTTTTGGTTTGTCATTAACATTCCGATCTAAACGTTATACAGGAAACTGCAATTTTCGTTACTAAAACGAAGTAATAGGTATATTATTTGGAAGTCCATGTAATTTATGGTATTGAATTACCTCTCTATTTTTAATTGGCTTTAAGGATTTAATCGATGCATTCAAGTTTCCAGGCAATGTAGTCAAAGCTTCGCGCTGCGTTAACAACTTACCGTTGCTAAGAATATCAACGTATCGCTCTATCATTTCCAAGTTTTTGCTTCAGAGAAATACATAACATTTTAGTAATAAGAAGGCTTAAATGTTTCATATCGAATAGTTTCACCTATATTTCATTAGTTGTCTTACAGCTAAATAATATTACTAAATATCTATTAGGGAGTACGTAACACTTGAAAATTATTAGGATATTATTTCATGGTCTCTTTAATTCAATAATAATTAAAAACGCATTTACCTTCCAAAGCATTGAAGTCGAAGTATTATATAATTCGGAAAGGTAATCTGTAGAGTATTTACAACAAGAAATAAGCAATAAAAGCCAATCTCTTACAGCTATTGTAATAAATACTTCATGTAATATCTGGAATTAAAACATACCCATAGTTGCGATAGTACCGCAAAAATAGCCCACGGAATACTAAAACTGCATATTAATAAGGTATAATTTCAATTTATAATCTAATGACATACCGGATCTAGTTTTACTCTCAATCGTTGAGCAATTGCAGAATATAATGCAGCAAAAAATATTGGCGTTCTGTCCGTACGCAAGATCTTAGGAAAGTTGTATAAAAAATAATTACTATACTAAGAATAAAATTATCCATCCTCGTCTTAAATTTATTACCATAAGTGGGGTTGCAGTTGTAAATCCTCTTGCTTCAAGATCAATAAAGGCTATGAGATCACGGTAAGAATTGATATTACCATCATAGCCAAGATCGCCATAAAGAACCTTGTTGATTGCCGATAAAATGTTGCAGCAAGAATAATAATCTCGTACTATTTAATAAATATAAGAATAAGATGAACCGTTAAGATTTTAATAGGTTAAGCTATAATCGCATCCAAAGCCATAAAAATATGATTACTTTATCTCGAAAGACAGCGATGCATATAATACACCCGCGTATAACATTGACTAGACTTGCTTCACAGTCTTGCAATTTAGCTAGCGCGACTAATAACGTAATACTATTAGTGTGAAGTGTTGAATACTCAAATGTCTATTTCGAAAAAAAAGTACATTATCACAAAATGTAACACTTTGATTTAATTTTACGATATGTCTGTAAGTTTATAATCTATGGTAAGAATATAGAACATCTATTATCACAAATATGCACGTAAGCTTTCAATCTATGGTAAGAAATGGAACATCTGCAATTACATGATGCTGTTATAAATCGGAGTTCAAATAATTTCAAGTTATTTTACGTAATAATTAGCCTATCAATGCAGTGCAATATGTCCATACAGTACATGCATTGCTAACTTACAATAGCCAGTTTCGCTGTCTCTTACTGACAAGTTAGAGTCAATCAAATATTGTTTAACTTGTTTAACAATAGCATCAATTTGTTTGTTGCAGTTATCTTCATTTGTAATATTACAAGCCATCAACCAAGAAGAAAATAGAAATGCTCCTTCCTCGATTAATATGTCGTCATCCGGTAATTTTAACATATTTTTAATTCGTGGCAACAAGCAAAGCTTATTGTAGACATTTTTTCCATAATACTTTAAAGTTAAGTTATCGTTGCTGTAACAAAAAATACGAATAATGAATTAGTAGATTCAGTAACTTATATACCATTTTCAGTTTATGATATTTATATTTTAATGATGCTAGATTTCGATAGGCAATATTGCCAGTTAACTAAATGATCGATTGTACAGCAACAGATAAAATATTTTCAGATGTCTGATGATAGCTTCATGATTGAGCAGGGATAATGCATATAAGAGGGGTAATGAAACAAATTTATAGAACATAACAAATATTAAGCCTAATTGATTATTAAAAGCGAATGAAATAAGTGAAATTTCATATATCATTACATTTTGTAATAATTTTTGAATACAACCAATTTTGCAATTATGAATTTCACGAATATTAGAGACCAAGTACTTATCGTCGTCATAAGTTAACACTAACCTTGAATCAGATAAAAGTGTTACTAAATACTCGGTAAGTGTTTCATTAGCAATGTTGTCCTTATCCTTTTGCAATAGAGTTTTGATGGGTCTGTAAGCATCACTTGATATTAAATCATCATCATAATATCGTCGATTAATTTCATTTAGTTCTTGTTGGATCTTCAATCCTAGTTTATGCCTTGCTATAAACAGTTGATACCAATCCGTGGATGCATTTTCTAGTGCTTTATCCCATTTAGACCACCTAAATAAGGCATTGATAATTAATCATAAAAAAAGGAAATAATACGATATACTAGTTTAATAGTCTTATTATTAAAATAGGGATTAGTAATAATAATAATATATCCCTTTGTTTATAATAGTATATCTGTATCAATTCAACATGGATCTCTTTAGTTATGGAACAAGTAAATAACTACAAGGAGTTTCCTGTTACCATTTCGCTTAAGATCATGACAGATCTCTTTTTTTTAAATTACTCTTGAATTATGTTGGTCGTTGAACAGTGTTATAGCGACATGATCGTTTTCTATTCTCATATCGACCCAACCAACTCAGTAGCTTTTTCTTCATCTCCATTTTTTTATTGTAATATATCAACTTTGAGAGTAAAATGAAGGTGAAAAGACGTTTCTACAGATTAATTTAATACAGTAGAAGTTCTATAAGATATGATGGTGTTGCAAGGATGTTGTCGTAGCAAATTTTCTGTCTAATTTGTGATTGAATGCGTAATAAGCCAACGATTTCAGTTAGAACAAAATTTGTTATCTATGATCCCTTTAGGATCCTTGCCAATGTAGAGCTCTATGTCGTTAAAAAAGTTCAATACAAACCCAAAATGAATGACAACTAAGTAGCAATTTTACTTGTCTGATGTCTGGTTAGGCCTAGCAATAATTAATTTGTATTTCAAGCAGATTTCCTTAGTAGATTAGTACGACTAAATAGTATCTAGCAATCATTAGTCATTAAGATGAAATTTGCTTATCTTCAATTACGTATCGTTAAAAACAATTCAACATTAAACCTAAAATGGACGATAACTATTAAGAATCAATTCTACTTGTCTTATGTCTTACTAGGCTTAGCAATGATTAATTTGTATCTAACGCAAATTTTCATGGTATAGTATCTAGTAGTCATTGATCATTAAGATGAATGTCGCTTTGTCTTCAATTAGGCATCTTCATAGTATGCAACATAGCCCAGTAGGTAAAGGCAATAACGGGTATCAAAACTTGAATTGATACGACTGGTACTACTAAATAACATCATTTCAGATGTTTATAGCAGTATCTACTATAACATAGAATACAAATTGCTTCCAACATACATGGGTAGTAATTCTATTTTGTGTTATGGCCATCAAGTACATTCAATGATAATTGATATCAGTTACTAGATAATCAAGAGAAAATTTGTATGAGATTGCTTAGCAGGGCCATAGTGTGGAAATCATGAATAAGCTTGTTAACACTTGTGTTCGTAGTATCTATCCTGATATTGCTAACTACAATTCAAGTAGTGAATATTGATGTCAAAGATTACTTCTCTTTGGACATGATTTTCCCGGTAAATGTACTTCTATTCGATCAGCACTATCCTTTAGAAGGTCAGTCATTTCAAGGGAAATAATGGACGAGGATATTTTAGTGCCCTAAATTGCCAAATTCTTGTGGTGGACATTGATCAACGCTTTTGTCTATCAGTCTTTCCACTTATAATTTATGACGTTAAACACTTCTATTCCACAACAGCAATATTCTTTAGAATACCACTCATTTCAAGGGAAATATTGGGTGATGATGCATGAGCGCTGTAAATTGACAAACTCTTATAATGGACATTGGTCAACGATGTTATCTATCCGTCTTTCTCCTGATTGCTTATCATTTATGACTTTAAACGTTTTTATTCCATACCAGCAACATCTTTAAAAAGTACCACTCCTTTCAAGGGAAATATTGGGTGAGGATACATGAGTGCTCCAAATTGACAAACTCTTATGATGGACATTGATCCTGACAATCAGTCTTTCTCCAGGTTGCTCAATTATTACCTTAAACACGATAGCTAACAGAGTTATTGTAATTGAAAAGGAAGCTACTATATCTTTAAAAGTAAACTAGACATGATAGCATGATATTTCAGATGAACAACATGATTAATAGTAGGATAACATTGTAAACTGATCTACTGGTCGATGAAAGCACCGTCATTTATTCTACTCATAGTGAACTAAACATCCTTTACAGTAGTATTTAGTTCATATCCATAAGTAGAGTTTTTTTTGAACGCATGGGAAGGTGTGAAAACTGTAGGAGCCATGACTTGCCAATTAATCATTCATTTTTCCCGCTTCATGTTGTTTGTCTTTGGTTCAAGTACTGTAGAATGCAATTGCTTTCTCTATCGTATGATCATAAGCCTACAAGAATGGGTAGGCTACAGGGTAAAATGGATAATGCTATGGCAATGACAAGGGTCCATTGCTAGTTTTTAATTTTCCTCTACTACTTGATATCATCAGCAATATCCAGGGATACCCTTATCCAATCATGGTGAAAATACAAGTAAACTAACAATTCATGCCGTTAGTAGGTAATGCAATTATAGCAATTAACAAGGACTATCTATTCTATCGATGGCACTACTGACAGTAATATCATTCACTTTTAACTGTATTAGACATAAGTAGATGATTTTTGCTCCTTGTTGAAATAGCAAAATGGACTTTACAAGGGTTAAAATAGTAATTAATATCATGACACCGATGTTGTCGACCTAGAAGTGCCACGGTAGAATGGACTAATTTTATTCAGCAGTTGCTCGTTTCTTACCTTGATTTGGCTTTAAATTGCCACAAACTAGAGCCTAAACACACATGATGGAGATATTTACAAACAGCCGATATACAAAGAATATCATGATGATTCAGAAGTGGCTGGATTAAAATCGCTTCAATTAATTCGTCTGGTAAATAGATCAAATTCAACTGGTTATCGCCATGACAATCTTCTTCATCGCCCATTCTACTTCTTTCTTACGATCAATACAGTAAGTAAAAAAATTGATCACACCAGTGGTTGTTGCTGTTGTTAAAGAAGCTTTTAAAGATAGAAAAGTCGATCTAGTATGCAGTAATAGCCAACGTTTCTGCTTTGAACGATAGTTTAGCACCCCTAGTAGACGAAAAAGTTGCCGATGGGCTAGTGGAAACTAGACTAAAGACTATTTTATCCTCACGTCGATGGGGAGTGGCAGTAGCATATCTAGCATTCCATAGATAAATTATATTTTCGCTAGGTTTCCATACTAGACTATATACATAGATTAATTGTATGGTATACTATACTACACGGTTTCCAAGGCAATGTGAATTGCTAATGGACTACCCACTACTCTATCAATTACTCTGGTAGAATCTCGCCATTGCAATTCCATTTCTGTTGGCTATTGCTTATGGATGCAATAGTATTAAGATAGAATAATGGTCAAGCACAGGAGCTTCTTTCCTTTAATAGTATAATATTCTATGACTAAATACAATAGCAATATAATTAGGCCCATTTTCCATAGTCATAATAACGCTTAGACAGATTTAAGGCCAACAGTAGAAAAGCAGGCGTTGCTTTCTACTTTCTGTTTTCAGATTTGTTAATAGAATAATTGTCAGGAAAGTAATAGGCTATTTAGGATGAATTTTGTGTGAAAATGGCAATTTGATGTGATGGGAAAATTTGAATTTTCTACTTCCAATCTGATGGAAAAATTTTCTTCAATTGAAGAGAGAGAGTGTGATAAAAAACAGGTTATGCAGTCTGGAGCTACGTCCAAGACTGGTAGAATGTTCAGTAGGGGAAATGCTAGGCGATCTGCCGCAATAATTTCAGCTATTAAAGCAGAGCAATTCCTTCTTACAGTAATTTTCGATTCTAATAATGCAGTAATATCAACATATCTCAAGACTAAAGATATACATAGGTTAAAAACAATTTATCATTGTTATTGACTATCCAGTGATTAAAGAGAAGAATATTCACGACATGGCCTATCTTCTACACTTTATTGTGCATGCTATTAGAAATACAGTTAGAATCTTTTTCCAGTAGCTATGTTGCACACTACGCATCATCGTGGACCTTTTGAAGTACATAAAACAATTTATGCAATGAGAGAGAAGACTATGATCACGACTTGTGGCCTAATGTGCCATACGGAATTCAAGTACAGATTATAGTAGGAGTGTACCTGTGTTAGATGATTTTTAATATTGGTTGTGTCTCTAATACTAACAGATTATCATTCCCTAGCTTATGGAAGGAGAGTAACCGTAATTTATGGTCTATGATGGGTTATCACGTTGCACTACGATCGAGAAGGGCGTTTAGTAACTACAAGAAATATGTGACCAATAGATCAGTCTAAGCACTTCTTGCGTTAAAAAATTGGACAAACGCACAACTCGTTTATTTACAAATGAGCTACGCTTGCCCACCTCGTTAAAGAAGAGCCATCGTAGTTTACGATCCTTTTACAAGTATATGATCAATATAGTATCCTCACCCAAAGCATTTTTCTCGGTGAAAAAGGTATAATCGATCAATTCGTTTGTTGATCAATTACGAAATGAAAACTTATACCCTAATATTATCTCTATTCCACAATTTGACAAGACAGTAATTTAAAGAATACAAAATTATTTTGATCGTCGTCTATGATCAGCTTCAAATTTTAGCGATATTTCTCATCGTCTACTTAAGAATGATAGAAATTGGATAGCGATTATCCAAGGTTTCTTCTAAAAGTATCATCGGAGGATGCTATCATTAGTTGCTATTACCCTTTCGCGTTTCTTTCTCCTGCTGATACATAGAATACGTCAATACTTCATTTATACAATCAATTAACATATAGTGCAATCGTTACAGCGGAGATGCTAGGACTCCTACAGCTTAAAAAGTAAAATTTCCATGATACTTAGGCGCTTTACTTACTAAGAATAGAGTGTACACTGTAAATAAACAAAAAAAAGATGTTATATTCTATGCATGCTGTCTTGATCAACAAAATATCGCACAATAGCGACGCGGCTATTGGTAAACCGAAAGTAACTTATCCTAGATTTGAAGACAAAAGTGGGGCGGAGTAATGCTTAACTATTTCAAATGGAAATGCTCGTCTTAACGCCAATCAATCATAATGATATGCAAAACAGTAGTGAGACATCTTAGATTATGTTACATCTTGTCAATATTACACAAACGCAATGACGGCTGTTTATCCATTTGAGACCGATTTATTTGTTGTAGATACCGTCAATCGATCAAATTTACTATAGCTGCAGGAATAACAGGAAGTCCCTGCTAATTACTACTATCAACTACACCTGTAAACATGTTGTATTTGTGCTCGTATATAAATATAATATATAACAATTCAATCTTCAATATAATTATATTGAAAAACAACCTAGCTGACTACACTGTAAAAGCTATACTTTAGTGATGCAATACCGGCATTAGTTACATACGCGTATCATTCGACTATATTGTCGAGTAAAATTAAATAATATTTATGCACATTGCAGCCCCATTGGCGTACTCAAATTGACTGAGCCGATTCACTTATCGACTGCATGTCTAAAAGTGTAATAGCTAAGCACTATGTACCTAACGCATTTGTGTAAGCCTTAACATGTATAATTTACAGTCGTCATTTTGGCTCATATAATAGACAGTATCTGACGTTACTTAATTTGATCAGTTAAAACTATTAAATTATTACGTCAACCAGAATAGGCATAAAAACTTTTTATGGGTCAAAAAATAATTGCAATTATGAGGTGCTAATGCTGCAACTAGTACGGTAGTAAATATAATTGTTGTCATGGAGTAGGATTCATTCATGATTGAAAATAAAATACATGAAATTTTTTCGCAAGTGTAAAACTTCTAAGAACGAATACACCAATAGATTTACTATGCTGATTTACAACGGTCATCCTAGATATTTTTCTATAACATATATAATAACGGAATAAACTAATATTGCTAGTATTTTTGTAATATCTGTATATTAATAAAGTTCGACCTGAAACCTCATGTACTACTATGCTGTTGTCATTAATCTTACAGACCCACTTCTGAGCAATCTTCGGGATAACGCTTATGCATTTGCTCATTCGGTTCGTAAATCTTTGAACTAAATGAGTTAAAGTAACGACCAAGTTCCGGGTGTTGAATTAATTCAGTTCGATCAGTGGTTTCTAAATTTTCTATTTTAAACAAGTACAATACGTAAACTTACTAATTACAACATATCATCTTATGATTACATATATAGCAATTCGTATGTATGCTAAAACATCTGGTTATGAAAGGATAGAATATATGCTATAGATAATGACTAAAAAATAATATTTGTATACCTTGGGCAACATATCGTTCCGAACTATCGGCACCAAGTACGTTGTAGAATGGCTGATTCTTGCCTTGACTTAGTTGATTAATACCATTTTGAAGGATCCATGCTTCCCCCTTGTCACACACCGAATCCCAACCACAAACAATACATTGAAAATTATATCTAGTGAAAAAATAATTTCAAAAATTGTACAATTATTCCATGATCCATTCGAATAACAAAATCAACGATTTGAAAAGTGATTAACTTACGATTAATACGAAGCATAAACTTATTACATAACTGACCTCTTATGAAGTAAAATGTCGCCTATCTTAAACTTCACTTGTGGATATTCAGAACGTAATTTAATCTGTATCCAACAGAACCGTATCGTTATAAAATCTAATATTGCATCTACTAAAACGTTACTATTTTAGAAGAACTAACTATTTCCATCGTATTGTCTTTCTCATATTTCTTCTTTACTAGGGTCTTCAAATATCTCTGGTGCTGCGGTGTCATTTGAAAAAATCCATGATTTCCCTTTTCGAAAGTATCTCTTATGATCTACCCATTTACAGTTATGTTCAACATAATATTTACTATAATTAATAATTGCTCACTTCTATAGGCAAAAATAAAGTAATCTTCATAACTTATACACTATTTTACCTTAATGTCATAAGCTTTTACCCGAGCTAACAGATATAAGTACATAAATCGAATGGACTGATCATTTGGATTCAATATTAGATCTAAATTTAAAGCATGGACCAGCTGTAGTAAGCTATCAAGAAATAGAAATAAAAATATGAAGTTAATATATGACATAATCTACACGGAGCTTAATCTTTAACAGACTATTCGTTTAACACAAACACATTTGATTTACCTATCACGGTAAGGGATGGACCTGTGCAGTTCATTGACCCAATTACCAATAGCAACACACAATAGCTGAAAATATTAACGAAACTAACTCAGGTCATAACAAATTTTGAGAAGTACTATTCATAAATTCATTATATGTCCAGCAGATATTTTGACTTTCTAGTTACCTCCTTAGTTGAAACATGTTCTAATGTACGATGTAGTCGAAATGATATCATCTGCAGACACTCTTCTCGAGTTTTCAATTTTCCATTCTCCAGGACATCAATATATTTAAATCTTTCTGTTTCATTAGTACTACTTAATTATATTAATAAAAATTATAATGGATCTTATTTATTATGCATAGGACATAGTGATACAATGTAAATTTATTATTATTGTACCTTGAGTTGCAAGGCCATCTTAACATGAAGTGACTTAGAAAGCTAACCTATTGCGAAAAATTCAAGCAGTAACTACAATTAAAAGGCATTATCAGCTCTCATTTACTAATATTAAGAAGTCTTATATATAATAGCTTACAAATTATATCTAATATACCATGATAAAAATTGATATCGCAAAAAATCTTAGAATTTATGCTAAGGCAAAAACACACGTGTTAAACGTACAAATTCAAGATGAACACCTAGTCTAGCTGCGATAGCAAGATATATAGCACACATAGTTAGAGGAATTCCATATCCGCTCTCCAATACCTAAAGACAGAGGCGAAAAAGAGCAGATAAATTTATTTGCAGTATAATAAAATACCTATATTATGTCAACGATGCTTTTACACTTATGGAAAAAAGTATCGGATATTATCACCTTATCAATAGAAACATTTTTTTCATCATAATAGTTGTCGCAATTACAATGATAATTTAATTCCGTGAAGAGTACTTTATTAATAGTGAGCAGTATTCTTTCCGCTTCGGTATGATCTGTAACTATTGTAGAATATAATACAATCAGTCATGAGAAAATATTGATACCAGAATAGTTTAATTCGTCAGTGCATAATTAGAATAGTTTCAGATATAAAATGACTTTAAGAAGAAAAAAATTACTCCAGTCATCTCTGCCAAATGATAAATGTGTAAGACGAATTTGGATTTGGCTAGGCTGCAATAACTGTAAAACTCTCATGGCTATTCGATCAATGCGCTGACCGGTATCATTCACTATGTCAACTTTGTAAGATGAAGTCATCCAATAGGCCAGTAACGAAAAACCTAAAATGTCAGAGGTCCTATTTTTAATTCAAATATAGAAGTGCATGCTAGAAATATTTTGGTAGACGATACCTAATTACGGATATTATAAATCGGACAAATTAAAATCTCTATAAAAATAACTCTATTGATAAGCATAATTACCTAGCTCTGGCGACTGCTTCCAATCAGGTAAGGCCAAAAATGCTTGAATTTCATCCTGAAGCCGACAATGAGATAAATATTTAACAACCAATCTAGCATAATATCTCATTGTCAGCTTATTCCATCTGCCAGAATATCCACGGAAATAAATGTAGATTAACATTATGCGAAAAACAATTCTTTTAACATTATAATAATTTAATCTACTTAAGAATCTCGTGCATGAGAAAATATTTCGACCTATAAGTACTATACTGGATAATGTAACGAACTGCTCCTAGAACGCAAGTGTTTTCTGCAATTACTTATTAGCATCAAGAAATTCTTCCAGACATTCGATCGCTGATGGAACTATTACTGTTGAATCAGCTCCTGTAACGATCCGATCGATTCCATCGTAGCGATCATTTGTAATGATTTGCTCATCATGACACTTGTAAGCAATTAAATTAATTTCCTTCCTTAACAACTCTTCAAGTTGATGCCTTTTCTTATATATTTCATACCAGTCACATTGATCATCCGATGCATTATGCCAGTGAGACCATCTAGTTTAAAATACGTACATTTTCAACATGATTAGAGTGCCATAGCTCGATTACTTCATCAACATATAGTATAGAGGTATTCAAACTTGTCAATGATTGCCATGTCTAACATAATACACGTAATGGCTATCTTTGTACTTTACACGATTGGATTCTGTCCTTGATGGCAGTAAACTATCGCTAGGAAAGTTACTGTCTTATAACAGTGATCTATGATTGGAATTGGTAAATATTCGTACACATTATGCAAATCAACAGTACTGTATTGAGGATAAAACTTTCGATTAGTTCGGTATATATCATTAGAAATACAACACTACCTTCATTTGCAAATAGTACAAAGATTAATAATTATAATTGAGTGACATAAATTATCTCAGACTATGCTATCTTACTTCATTACTAGACGGTTTACACAACAGTTGTAAAGTTGATAAGTAGATGGTATAGTAAAATGTAATGATTATTTATCTAGTCGTATAAATTATAAATTCATCATTTGATAGAATTAGCTTGATTTAGCATCATCCATGCCAAGATTTTACGATGGATATAACATTGATGAAATGATGACTAAAAGTTGAAAACCAGAATTTGATTTTTTAAACAAGCGTATGATTAACGTGGCTGCTGATCTGGTCACTTCGTATAATGGCTGCATCTACAGTACTGTAGCAATGTTCTGTTTCATTTAGTACAATGGCTACATGGATAGTAGAAATGGTCCGTTTTAATTATTCTCGTATCTTCGATAGGACCTGTTGGCTTTCAACGCGTATAATAGCAATAACCCTAAGCCACTGGTGTCTATACAATCATGCAAGGTACATACCTTGTCAAAGCTTTCCTTTTCCATAATTTACTACTCATGCATATCGAATACAGCCTTCGTGATGTTGACCGTACGGCTAATAGATGACGATGATCAAGACTATCATCTGCTAATATCACTTCTAGTAATTCGTTGGCTAACGTTAGGAGATTGGGATGACATTCATTCATTCTCTTTCTTCTTATTCAATCAGTAAGTAACTTTGTCAACATCATGCAAAATACGTCGAAGTCATCTCGTATGGATCAATTTTCTAGACATTCAGTAGAACATTAAGAGTGGATAACATCTGTCATTGCATTTCCCATATGAATAACACTGTCTACGCTAGCGGATAAGGTGTGCAGATTTTCTACTGTCCTGCTCAATTATTGATCAACATTTGGACTTGGCGTAGCGATGGAAATGGAGTAGATCGCTGACTACAGTACCAGTCCGTACTGTAGATTGACTCTCGTACAGTACTAGTAACTGTACCGTATTGTACCGTACAGTCTTAACGATGCCACCCTCTACAGTGCAATGTACAGCACTGTGCACTGTCGATTTTTCACGGGAAAAATTTTAAAAAGGGGGAAAAAAAAGAAATTTTTTCGTTTCTTGAACTAATTTTATATCAATGGATAGGGAAATAGTTAAGTTACAAGATTCTGTCCTTAAAATTGATGTTAAATGTCGAATTGGGGAGTAGATGATAAGTTAAAGTACCCCAACTGCTACAGTGCAATACTATACACCGTGTACAGTACAGTATAGTGTCAGGGACCTATAAAAAGAGAATTTTTCTCTTCAGTAAACTATTATACAATATACAGTACAGTACTGCAATCAGTGTGCTCTCCTCTACTGAACAGTGAACAGCCTCTTCCATTTCGTTTTAGATACTTTCACTGGGAAAAAATGGAATTCAAATTAAGGCGCGAGTAAAGTAGTTTATACCGCTATCTAGCATATGAACAGATTTTTCTTAATTTACAGATAGAATCTTTGAGTTTACTGTATGTATAGAAATGGTTGTTTCGATAGCAATCAATTTCATTGATACTTTTATTAAAATATCTGATACGAAAATAAACATGGCTGTCCTGTAGATACGTAGTATAGTACTATATAAGATAAAGAGGTAAAATAGACACAAATCATAACATACTGTATAATCGTAACGAGCTTGAATGCAATTAATGCAATTAGTGCCATACCTTACTCTTTAAGGTTAAAAAAATAGGCATCAAATTTGCTGAAAGCCCATTTTAACTGCCATTCTAGCGTTTCGAGTGAACTTTGAAACAAATTTTCAAAAATAGAGTTTGCTAAGAACGTATCTCAAAAGTTCGGTGTCAACTTCTGCTCAATATGCAGATATTGCGTATAACGACGCGTTTACTATCGATGTATGAGTATTTCCGCTATCAGGGGACTTCTAAAAATGGCCGGTCAATGTCTGGCGTGGACCGATTGCTCGGGACATTGCCAGGCAATTTGATATTTCTAGGATTGAGCTCAATATATGGATTTACAACGTAGTACAGTACTATAAGAAAAAAAAGAGGTAAAATGCACACAAATCTCCGTATGCTGTATAACCAGAAACTACTCAACTAGGAATTCTCCCTCAAAAGCTGTCACTAAAAATGTTTTCCCACTGTACTCAACTAAGAATTCTCCATCAAAAGCCATAACTAAAAAAATTTCCCCCTCCCCTATACTAAAAATACACGGGACTCGTATATTTTTTAGTATAGAGAGAAATTTTTCTAGTTACGGCTTTTGATGGAGAATTCTTGGTAGAGTAGTCCTTGGTATAACCATAACTAACTTGAATGCGTTGATACAATATTTTACTCTTTAAGATTAAAATTGGGCATCAAATCTGATGAAAGCCTATTTTAGCTGTCACTTTTAGCGTATTGAGTGAACTTTTAAACAAATTTTCGAAAATACGAGTTTGCCAAGAAGATGTCTCAAAAGTTCGTTATAAAACTTCAATTCGATATACACAGTACAGTACGTCGTTTCGTATGGCGACGCATTTTCTATGCACATATGTCTCTGCTATCGATAGTATACAGGACTGTAAGTCGGGACTTTTTAAGGGATGGCAGGAAAGCGTGTTGGATAATACAAAAAATATTCAAATCTTACCAAGTGATTACCCTTATTTACCCGTATAGCACCCTATGCGGTGGAAAATGCGGATCAATCCCATTTTACGGCGTTACGTTGTAGAATCTAGCTTGATCTGTGAAATGGAATTGATCCGAAAATCCTACTTCTAATGGTGTGGCTTTCATTTTAAGACCTACATTATAGTGATATTAAAAATAGAGATTTTGAGTGGGCAAAAATGATTAAAATGCAATGAATCTCTCCTTCACTGAAAAAATTTTGTGGCTCAAATAGTACTTCTTTCTCAATCAGATTGACCACAATATTCGTACAGTATGTAGTCCTGGATGAGCATTAGTGGAACTGTAGAGATAGCCTTTAGCAAAGTCATGTTGCTAGCGAGATGAGCGATTTCAATCGCGAGCAATAAACAATATCACCATTCCATGCTAGATTCAATATGATGCTTGGAAGAGCTAAGACCGTTTAGATTGTATCTATTAATATTCAGTAGGATAACGTTTATTTATTATATACCAGGCAGTAGTAGTTTCGACTAGGTCAACGAAAAATCAATCTTGAATTGATTGAGCTCTGCACTGTACGTGATTCCATCTTAAATTGACAGCTAAATTGCAATGCTAGGATATAGGCGCATTGAATTTGGCGCGATTCCGTAGCACAACATGATGCTCTAGTGCGGCTAGATCCAGATAATCTATAAGCTACTACCCACAACATTGACTAATTCTCCACTATGAGCAAAAAATGCGAATACATGCATTAAAGCTACGATCCGGTCAGAAATGAATAACACAGCACAGTATACGGATGCAGTGAGTCCTAAATCACTTCTAGCTATTACCTATACTATTAATATCAACTGAATCTGCTTCTGTACCAGGAGAAAATTGAAATTAATTTAACGTCTTTTTTGCATTAATAAGCCACGCCACGATTAGATACGAATATTGATGTTAGTGGTAGTATACGAGTACAGAGCCATCCCATGTGGTCGGTGCAATATCATGATGTACTTAGTAAAGCTAGTCCTAAATCACTTCAAGATATTACCCAAAATACAAATGTGAATATTGATGGTCATGGCAATATACGAGTACAGATCCTTCATATGATCAGCACAATATCATGTGAGAGTAAAGCTACTTCTTGGCCACTTTCACGCCACTACCTATAACATGGACCAATTCTGTTTATGCACTAGGATAATATTGAAATACCTCTACCATAGCAATCAAAGATAGAACCTACGATGCTATCGTCGAGATTAACTAAATTTGAGCTAGAAATCAATCCATTGGAAGTACGAACATGATGACAAGCATACCATACCAAAATTCGCCAATTTTTTTCCGTACGCTAATTCCTAATACAGTATCAGTATTAACATCCGCTACAATGACTGTAAAATATTGCCATCATTTATAGCTACTTCGCCGAGGATTTCCCTAACTTCCAGATAATAATTTTAAATTTGCAAAATTTTACCATCATAAGCAAATGCTTTTAATTTTCGGTAGATATGAAATTCTATAGATTCATTAGATTAATCGGCCCAATTACACCTTTGCTACATGGAGACAATCATACTGTATTTTCGATATACGAAATAAATTTACGTAGTTTAGAAATTGTTTCTGCATTTCAATTTTTAATATTGCTACTAAATTCTCCGGTACAATTAAAAATAAAAAACATACGAATACGGATTAACGGTTTATTTTTATATTTATTTTTATAATGACATTAACTCATTTTTTTAATCGAATAGAATTTATCATAATAACTGTTGGAAAATAAAATTTTAGAATATATACTCGTACCACACTAGAGCATGCTGTATGTATACGATGATATATCGTAAAACGGAATTAATTTTAGGCCTAACCGAAATATTGCGGCGGCTATACCAGTAGTGTAGTTCACGATCTGGAGTCCGATAGTAAGACATGACATTCGCGTATACCGATATCTTTATGACATGGCAATAAAATCATCTATAGATTCCATAGTTAAAAACAGATGCTGGCTGCAATTTCATTACAACGTGTCGAAATAGAGCTCTTTACGGATGACCACTTGGCGTTGCTAGAAGTTATTATCTAACATTACCCCTAATGCTGTGATAGTTCACTACATTATATGCTCCAAATTTAAATTTAGATACGTCAAAGTCCAATTTTAATCATTTCTCATATTTCCTTACTTCAGCGTAGAATTGCGCCCGTCGTGGGAAATATAAACACTAGAACAGTGTTTAAAAAAGCTTATAAAGTAGCTAGACAATCATCTGATATCAAAGTCGTACTTTGAAAGATAATAGCCATGATAAATGTTCTAAAGTTTAGACTTGGGAAGCTCTTCTGTTATCCTCTTTAGTTACATAATACACGTAGTTATAAAGCGATAGTTTTAAAACCATTATCGATCTGCTTATGAATTCGATAGGGAAAGTATCTCGCCACCAACATCGCTAATAAACATATAAAACGAAATCATCACGAGCTCGATAATATCGTCGACGAGGGCAGCAACAGTCGTACATATCATGATAGCGATTTCTCATCCACCTTCTTCCTTTAAAGGCTACGAGGATAGCACAATTGATGATTGCAGCTATCGCTAAGATAGCAAAAACGATAATCATTGCCAGAATGTCCGTCGGTAAGTTTAAAAAATTTCGAATGTCATATCCAGCTTCGGTCGATGGCATGGTAGTGGTATTTCTCGAACTCATCTTCAAAATTAACGTGAAATAATTTAAATATTTACAGAGACGATCTCCTTCCTGATAGTGCTCTTATCTTTCTAGGAGAAATATTAAGCCTAGAGATGCCCACGACAACGCTGATAAGCGATTCAGCTCACGCCGGTTATCAAACATATGACAGCAGCCCTAGCTACGTTAATTAAATTACCATTACCCTATTAAAGAAACAGTTCAAACTGACTTTGTTATGAAATTAAACATTCAAAGTTTGCGAGGTCTATGGTATCAATCATAAGGCCATTAATAATAGATTATACTAGAAGGCGAGATGCCAATCTAACAGGGCAGTTTTCTACAATTTTGAGCATAATAAATTTACCTATAATAATTCTCATCAATAAAATTTGCAACTATTTTACTTTTAATGTTTCTCCGCTTCCTAATTACAGTTATGCGCTTCAAATACTTGTACCGTACATAGGAATGTTACTGCAATATTGCAACTAATCGATTTGAGACATGAGATACAATTAGTAAGGTATCGATTTAACATTGAATTTATCGTCAGTTGTACTAGTTGTACTTTTGAAATGTTCCGAAAAGGTTTAAATTTATAAGGTGAATAACAGCATTATCAATGAGAACATGCGCTGAATATACTAAAAAATTGCAATTTAGCTTAATTAATACTCGTATGTTTTCGTAACGCCGTTATCGACAATCATACTTCTTATATGATAGTGATAATTCTATTTACTGTCGGTTATATTCGATCATAATATTGTGATAAAAAGGTCGTAGTCTATATGTTTCATAACATCTATACTATTGGATGACAATTTATGAAGAATTTGGTAGTCATTGCGATATTTGTCGCATTCAATAAATTAAGGCCTAAAGTTTTATTTTACGCTAGTAAAACGGCAAGCGCTAATGTTAGCATTCAGCGTTTCTAATATATAACAGTAAAAATTAGATAATAATACTTTATTTCTTGATTAACAAGATCAACTTTTACAGAGAGTTTGAGTACACTTACGGCTTATAAATATATGTATCCGTTTCCGAATAGAACAGTTGGAAGATCTGATTGTCGAATGCAATACAGCATAATATATATATAAACAAGTTGAAAAATAGCACTTTAAGTATTACCGCTTTCATTAAATGAAGTCAGCAATATAGAACAAGACAAATCAATCACGATATTCCTGGATTTGCTTTATAAGGAATCCTTGAAATAACCAATTCGATAATAATTCATGACTCTCAACAGCTATAAAATCAACAAACATGATGTCTTAAGCACACAAAATAAATTACGTATTATGTGTTAAATAGTAACGGAAACAATACAATTAAACTATCTTTGACACAACGTATTATTAATTTGCAATCAGCAATCTCCTATGATTCTTTCTTAACACGACTCAACAACTGTTGCAAAGCCATGACGCATTGATTCGGAATTAATACTCCTAGTATCAACAAGAAAGATAAATTAATACCTAACGTCGTGTATGATTACTCTAGTTAATCAAGTTTGATACTCACCAACAATTTTTTCGTCTTCTTTCGTTGTGAGACGCACGATTTGAACTTTACTTTGCTGTGATTGACCAAGTAAGACACTCTCGATACAATTCCAAACACTAAATACAGATCCACTAAAAACGTGATAAGTCCGACATCTTAAGCCAACTTCACATGCTAAACCAGCAGCTACTTTTTTACAGTTACCTTTCCTAAAATCGCAGATCAATTAAAATAATTATCATTTAATAAGATATCATTACTCATTTTGTAATAGTATAAATTAAATTACCAGAAAGCGTGACTACATAAGGTTAGTGAGGCTTCGTATTGATCAATCCATACAGACTTTGCGGCAGTTTTCGAAGACTACAAAAAAATTTATTTCGTTGTGCTAAATAGAGTAAAAGTCATATGGCAACAGGCGTGTAATTTAAAAGATCAAATTTTACCTTACGATACTTTTTTAAAATATCCGTAAATCTTTCAAATTTTTTCTGTATTCCAGTATTTGGTCGATATATCTGGAAATTATCTTCCGCCCCCGAATTGGTGATAACTTGTTTAATGAACACAGCCACTCTTTTATAATTTCTTGTCTTAAGATCAAAATAGAGAAGCAATTTCGTTAAGAAGGTTGCCAATACCTATACAATCTTATTATTATTAACCTGCACAGACAGATAAAAACCATCCTTTTCTTCACTTGTTCCATCTGCGATCTCGACTACTTTCTCCCAAGATAAGCCTCGCGTTAATTTCAACTGTTACAAGAGAAAATACTCTAGTAAACTCTCACAATATAGATTCAAAAAACAAAAACTGTTCAAATTTTATCGCTGTTAAAGATAAGATTTTACGCAAAAGGTATACCGTGTGCAATTTAACCATTGCTCCTGAATGACGCGAAGAAACATCAAATTGAATGCTCTGCACTTTTTCAACAGTCATATCATCAGTGCCGAAATCTAGTATACCGCTTTCCCATCTTCCAGTTTTTTTTGATTCCTGAATTATTTTATTCAATGTATCACTAAAATATGCAAACAGCTTATTTTGCAACACTACAGGAATACCTAAAATTCTATTTAAGAATTTGGGTATACTATTATAGTCTTTCTCGTATACATAATATGGCCATCGATTTTGCTTGTTTAATAATCCAACGTCTGCCATCGCTTCCGAAATGTCATTGAAAAAATCTCCCTCATAATTCTCTGGTGCTGGTACTATTGCTTTTTGTTGTCCAGTTACGCTATTAAAGACGGCTTCGAGAGCCGTACGACCGTATCGATTATCAAAGTTATATTTACTAAAATCACGAGTTTCAGTAGCCCGTCTATCACCATGTGTTAAAGCTCCTAAACTTTCTAATCTCCTTGCAATTATAGATGCAAATCTTTGTTCTCCAGCCAGCTCAGATATTAAGTAAAGGTAATCGGGAGCACTAACTTGATTTGAACGATGAGATCGACCAAATTGTTGAATAGCCCTATCAGCACTCCATGGTAGCTCTAATGTTATGTGGACGCGACGACGCCGATTTGCTACTCGTTTATCCGCATGAAGAGATATACCTGAACTAGCTGCTTCAGAAATAACGGCGATTAATTTTTCACCGTCCATAAATCTTTTCTTTTCTATTAGATTTAGGACTTCTAATGGTATATCTGATTCACAACGCGATTGATAGCTAATAGTCCCATCGGCATTACATACAACTCTACCTTTTCTACCAGTCATCTGAAATAATATATCAAATCGATTTACATTACTACAATAATTTTTTGAATATTAAAAAAATTTTGTGCACAAATCCACAAACGTTAACCTCAGCAACATTTTTAGGCCCGCCCAATGAATCAATCAGTTCATCCAATGTATTCGGTGGCAACTTTGGAGCAAGTTCTTCAAAACTACTTAGTAGCTGCTCTTTTAATTGGTTAGCTGATTCACCCGGCGTAGATACACTCCTGCTTGCATTGTGAGAAGGCGGCCTAACATTCCCAACAGCACGAGCTAAGCAAAAAAGAAGGTAATTGGAGCTGTCATAGATTTGTCACGTAAAGGTTGAAATAAATAATTGAATAAACGAATCTTAAAGAACCTCGATCTGCTTTTGAAGAGTCTTCCTTTTGCCATGATCGAGTAGATGAGTCAATTCCAGATGCACGAAGAATATCATTCAAAGTAAGTCCAGCATCTTGACGCACTTTTTTACTCGCCTTCGATTTCTTGTCACGGGAAGCATCTAAAAGTAACAGTTGATGTAATTACAGAAATTAGTTTTGAAATTTAGTTTAAATTACCAGTACGTCAATTGATACAAATTCCTATACCTAAATAGAAATGCATAGTATGAAGATGGTAAAAATCAGTAAATAAGACGCACTTGCGATGTATATACCTTTTGCCTTTGATTTACGAGAAACGCCATTGTCGCTAGAATCACTGCTGTTGAAAAGTTTATTGATGTCTTCTTCAGACTCTGAATTAGAGTCTGATTTAATTATTTCACTATCGTTATCACTATCACTATCATCACTATTGCTGCTATGATTCTCTTCATCCTTGCAAGCTCTTTTCTCTGTATCGCTATCTGAACCATTTTCCTCTAACAAAGGCATGATTCAAAGTTACCATAGTTATACAGCAAAAAATATAAATATAGCATATCATTCAGAGTAATAGCGTCTACATAAAATTTATCATGAAATACCTCGTTTACGTTTCCGATCGTAACTGTCGCTTTTATTATTGCCTTTATTGTTAGAGTAATCGAAACCCATCAATTTGGCAAGTCGCTGCATGTTAGGAGCCGGAAAATGCTTCTCTATCAAAGCCGTAAATACCCCCCTACCATACATAGCAACGAAATAATTATTCATTAACATCTACACAACCAATAAATGATCCAAATAATTTGTTTTTATAAGCATCTTACTTAGCGGTAGAGATAAAGTCATCAATCTCTCCGTTTGATTCCCCTAGCTGCTCCATCATTTGGGCTTCACCTGTTGACTGCAATCCGATTATGACGCACTAATGAAGAAAGACAATTTCATATTGAATACTATACAATCATAGCAAAAATACACTGTACACATCATGTTCTGTTGTACCTTCCCATTCGCAACGGCATCTTTTGCTATGTCTACAGCGACCTTAACTTTGGCAGCTATGCATAAATATTTGAAGAACCTCTACCGGTTCATACCAAATCAATTTAGCGAAGTTATAATTTACCGAGATTCAAAGCTTAATATAATCTCTACGGATAAATCATTAATATCGAAAGCAGACCTGATGAGCAGACCAAAATTGACCCCACATGTTTTTATGCAATTTACTATCTGCCCCCATTATTGTAGCAGCCTGGCTAAATTTTTGACGAGCCTCCACCCACTAGGGAAAAATGGCATAACTATTCGTTATCAATTATTCATAAAGTTAAATTAGAAATTGTACCTTGTAGTTACGTACTAGTTTAACTGATTTGTTGTACATTTCTTTAAAATCATGAGATAGAGGAATCTCTTGAATATTGAAGGTAACTCCTGTAAAGCTTAATTGTCTTGCCATATAGACGCCACTCATCTAAAGATGTTATCATAACCAATATACGAACAATTCACTACTTATTAGCATTCGTTGGTTTGTGTAGAAGTAACAAATTGTACTGCATCAACATTTAAACCATTTATTGTTTACCTTCATGTCCATAGCAACAAGTTCCATGGCACTAACTCCTCTATTAATAAAGTAGCCTATAAATTACTAGTTCACATCATGTAATCATCAGTTGCATAAGCTACACACCCTTTATCGATAGCGTGAATAAAATTTTCAAATTCTTGAAAAGGCGTTCCTTTCCCCCATATTCCTAAACGATTCATATAAGCCATGTTGCGCGGTTCGGAAGCGCCTAATTGTGTAGGAAAACAGCAATTACTTTAAAATGATAAAACGAGTAGAATGCCAATAACAATTTTTATGCGTATTTAAACTTTATGACAAAGAATACCAGTTGCACTAGCATATACAATTCTGGCTTTTGGCAGTTTATTTTGCAAGGCCAAAACAGTTTTTCCAGTTTTTGTTGGCTTTGATGAAGCAGAGCGATAGAGATTTTTTGCTTTATGGCACTCATCGAAAATTATCTGTTAACGAAAACGAAGAGTATTTTCAATGAGTAACTCGGCTTGCTACCGCAGGTTTTTAAAACGAAGTTACTGTAAGAATATAAAGAGCTATACCACGCCGTCAAAGCTTTCGCCGAGCCAACGAATTATCTGCGATAGCCGGGTACGGTACTTAGCCTTCCCTTGGCTTTCACTGATTAACGAAGAATAAGTGGCAAAAATAACACCCTTTCTAACGCAACCGTTTTCCTTTGATGAGATCTTTCCATATTTAAACTGAAATATAATTTAAATAACTGTATATAAGATGTCCATAATTACATTATAATAAATCCAGAGCAATTGCACGTAAAACTGACATAACTCCACAGCCTACCTTGTTTAAGGAATAAATTTTTATCCTTTCAGCTCCAATATCCTTTAGATCTCTATGAATTAATTTTTTTTTAAAGTTATTATGATTACATGGTACGCGACTCAATCGTTAGTATGAAAACGACTGACAACAACAAACCTTGCAGAATCATATTTTAGATCATTCGATACACTCAACCTAGAACCAAGTTGAAAACGGCAATTAATTATTATAATACGAATATATATATCGTATACTTAATTGTATTCCCATTTCGAACTTATAAGACCGTAACGGCTATACAAAATATAAGAGATAGCGTTATCAATGAGTGCACGAATAGTACCATAATGCACGTTTCCTTCCTTCGATGTAATTTTCATAAATGATAGCTAAAATTGACAGATAGAGGAGTACGATTACTGAATAAATAACAAAAGTTCACGACACGGTGTGCCAATTTAAATTATTTTAATATCACCTTACCTGCAAGAGTCCGACCTTTACCAACACCTGCGCCATCGCCTGCAAATAACAAGAAGGTAATCAATGAGCCAGTTAACAATTTAAAAATTAATACAGAGCATTTCAATCTTGCCCATATCGATTTACTATCCGTGGCGAGTGAAATTCTCGGTACAAGTAGCTATACAAAAGTGAAACGAATCCTATACCGATGAGAAATCCAGCCCTTCTTCCATCAGCTAACCATGTATTATGTTGTTGGCATGCGTACACAACGGCTTCTAATTGTAGTGATGATAACATTCCATTCGCAATAACGGATTTAGGTAAATTTAAATTGTAAGTAATGTCTGGAGGAAGTACACTTGAAAGAGAACTATAAATATAAAAAAAACGTAATTGGTTCATTCCTATCCTTGCAAAAGGTAACCCATTAAGAAAAGGTAAATATTAATAATTTACTTTTACTATACCTGGTTTCGACGACCGGATCGGGATGTCTTTTGCCACTTTTGACTGTAAAGTGATAGTAGTAGGCATCTTTTCAAAATTATTGTTGAATAAAATCAATTAAATGATAGAAAGAGCTTACACTTGCTAGGAACGTATTGAGAATATGTTTCAGTTCGGTGCTGCTCATCTTCATCCTCAGAATCAGATTCAGCAGCAGTGGTCTGTTTATCTGCTCGGGAATTTTCGGGATCAGGTAGTAACCACGAACGCGTAACAGCCGGATTACTAAAAGCACAATATAATAAATATCACAGATTAATGCATGTTAACTTTAATTAAGCGTAATAAAAACATGAAACACTATGATAGCTACGCTTCTATTAGTATTATTTAATTACTGAAACAACAGTTAACAGACTTTAAATTTTTCCATTTATTCTTGGACAATTTGCTCATGATATAATTATGGGCTTGAGCGATAATTATAATTTTCTAACGCGGCGATTGTAAATGTAGGTACAAAATATCAAGCCTAAGCTATGATTGGTGTTAATTAACAATTATCTGCAGAAAGACAATGTCTTCGTAAACGTTATATGTCGAATTCGATGGGTCAGTGAATTACTATAACATCTAGTTAGCAATATAATGATTAAAGAAAACTGTAAAAGTATTCCCTTGATTTCTTTCTCGAAAATGTAGAAGCTTTCACCACGGATAACTAACTAATTTTTAAATTATTAATATATACGAGATATTCATGATGCGAATAAAAGGGGATACTAAAGGGGATATAACAAGTCCTCTAATTTCTATACACAAGATTACTCCAAGCATTGTGCAGACTTTTACCCTGCTATTATTTCAGCAATATCCTGCAACATTATTTAATATAAACAATTAATTAACATAGACTTTGGCACCAGTCCCAATATTAATAATTAATAAATAATAATTATATCTTTAGTATACGCAAGAACAAGATTTTAGTTCATGGAAACCGTATTGGAAATTAATTTCACTGTAATGAAAAGCACGAATTGCTAGCCAAATATAGACAATAAAATGAAGTCTGTCCTTACAGGTCAATAAGAACGTATCAAAATAGCTGCAAAACATTAAAATTCCTTTTGGTGCAGCACTATGACCCAGAATCAAAACCAATAAAGAAATAATTTGAATTACCAGATCGTATATTAGTTGATGATTACAATTAGAATGGATAAAAATCACTTAATGCGTATTTATCATACATTTGCTACCTTGTCATGGCGCCAATCGAATAATAGAAACGGAGTATAAAACTACTGGTAGATTAGCAAAATTACTATTATCGCTTTCACTTGAAATAGATAACTTCTACCTTGGAGCAATTTTAAATATGCATGACCAACTGTTGGTTGTCTATATTTAGCTTAGACGATAATACTTGGTAGTGCAAGTTGTAGCTGCAAGAATTACCAAAAACAAGAAATAAAACCAATACCAAATAACTCGCTGATAGTAAGACTTTGATCAACAAAGTACAGTACAAGAATAATTTCAGAAAGGCAGCAATAGCTTCTACGACGGGCTACTAACCACTGGCAATCTGCCCGAAATTGAGCTATTTTATATAACTAGAAGTCTAGTACGCCAAGGTGAGCTCTATTATCCATGAGACGTGTAATTGCGACATTATGAACTATACAAACTGGACGAATTGTTGGTCGGCTAATTGCTAATACCCTCTATGAGATGTGTAACTGCGACTTTATGAACTATACAAGCTGGACGAATTGTTGGTCGGCTAATTACTAATACCATCTATGAGACGTGTAATTACGACTTTATGAACTATACAAACTGGAGGAATTGTTGGTCGGCTAATTACTAATACCATCCATGAGATGGATGGTACACCTTCAGGATCATTGGCGACTTTATAATTAATTTATACGAAATGGAGAATTGTTGGTCGGCTAATTACTAATACCATCCATGAGATGGGTGGTACACCTTCAGTATCATTGGCGACATTATAATTAATTTATACGAAATGGAGAATTGTTGGTCAGCCGATTGCTAAGGACTTTTAGAGGACTGATGGTATCCATAGCACCGTAGATTGTAACAGACGATAATTCTGAACTGCTCAATGTTCATGCCCATGGATAACAAGACAGTAGAATCTGTTTGTATTGAGAGCATCGTTACTGATACAAAATACTTGTTAATCAACGCCTACATTTACTGTTCCATTCTTATCATTAATGGTGTCTGCAAGAGCCAATTGCTTACACTACAGCAATTGCAGATGAATAATAATTGACCTATTATGAAATTTTTGCGTCATGACCATTTATCAGATCTATATGATTGAGCAACAATTCAAATTGGCAAGTGGATGAAATGGATTCGATGAGTTTGATTTAATGAATGCTTACCGAGTAAAGGAAGAAAACTGTGTATATGCTCCTTGAATAAAATTTTGAACAAATTCGCTGGAGCCAGACGGCAAAGGTGGCAACGATACGTTGGCTATGAAGGGAACGTTACTGGCAATAGAGTCAGGAAGGCTATTGGCGTAATTGGTAGGAAGACCAACAGGAGTCTGATAAGTATAATTGTCGTTCCTATAAAATTGGTTTTGCTGTTGATTGATTGTATCCACTTGTAATACCATGGAAGCTTGATGATCAACGTCATATTGGCTATCATTGACATTGCCAGGTGGATAACTAGAAGTGTTATTGTCTTGATCAATAATGTCATGATGGATGGAGTCATGACCATGATCAACGCCAGGATAATTAAATTGCTGTTGATTGAGTGATAGGGATAAACCACTCTCTGCTAGAGCAAATGACAATAAATCTGTATCCAATCCATTCAGTAAGGGTAAAGAAGTGGTTGCATCAGTTTTAGTCGATGATTCATAATGAGTTTGTTGCATGCCGTTTCCATCCTCTGTTGTTAAACTGTGGTGATCCATTGGATCGTGATCATGATATTCTTGCCTACTCATGATAATAATAATAATAATGCTGTACGTAATTCTTCTTCCAAATGAATTGACCTCCTGTGTAGTACAGTATATATACAACTGTACTCAGTCTACTGCTTGTCAGCACAAGTGTATGATTAATTGGCATAGGCAGCAATGAGTCCCATGCAGAGTATTTAAAATGAATCAATCACCATTGACATGTATATCTCGATGTTATACTATCCTCGAGCGCACTGCAATCTACTGCACTGTCGACCAATGGCCATGCAAAGCAAACCACTCGCCTGCATGTGCCAGGGAATGAAATACGACTATGACAAATTGTCCTTCTCCTACAAATGAGAACAACAATCTCGATATGATGACTTGGACCCACAGCAAAGCACTACATTACCGCAATATCCCTTGTACAATCTTATACCTGGTCACTGGATGGAAAAGATTGAAAATCAATCTTGATGTTGATGCAGTCTAAATGATCTTGCGGTCTCGAGTAGAAAATGCCTTGAGAGAAAATTTCATCACGATGTTGGAGATGGTGATGGAAGCTACAGTACAGCATGAGTACCATGTACTGTAAGCCGTGTACTGTACACTGTACGGTACTGTACGTCAATAGACAAACTGGCCAATGGAAGTGCAATCCAGGCTTTTTGGGCAGCCATTTTTGCAATCAAATCAACTCCATTTTTTAGTATGTAGAGTTCCAATTTAATAGCTTAAACATGGTCAAAAATTGCTTAAAATGCGTAGAAAAATAGAGAAATATCTAAAATTTGCATATCCAAACAATTTAGTGCTAATAAAGCTTTACTGATCGTAAAAGGAAATTTTTATAATAAAACATTGAAGTGAGCATAGGAATTAGACTGGAAAAAAATGATGGCGTCAGTCAATAAAATGTAGAGTTCCATTTTAATTGCTTTAACATGGTCAAAAATTGTTTAAAATACGTAAAAAAATAGAGAAATATCTAAAATTTGCACATCCAAATAGTTTAGTAATAATAAAGCTTTCTTGACCGTAAATAGAAATTTTTAAAATAAACCATTGAAGTGAGCATAGGAATTAGACTGGAAAAAATGATGGCGTCAGTCAATAAAAATGTAGAGTTCCATTTTAATTGCTTAAAAATGGTCAAAAATCATTTAAAATGTGTAGAAAAATAAAGAAATATCTAAAATTTGCATATCCAAACAGTTTAGAGCTAATAAAGCTTTACTGACCGTAAATGGAAATTTTTATAATAAAATATTCAAGTGAGTATAGGAATTAGACTGGAAAAAAATGATGGCGTCAGTCAATAAAAATATAGAGTTCCATTTTAATTGCTTAAACATAGTCAAAAATTGTTTAAAATGCGTAGAAAAATAGAGAAATATCTAAAATTTGCATATCCAAACAGTTTAGTAATAATAAAGCTTTCTTGGTCGTAAATGGAAATTTTTATAATAAAACATTGAAGTGAGCATAGGAATTAGGCTGGTAAAAAATGATGGCGTCAGTCAAAAAAAAGCATTAGTCGATTGAAGAGCGTGCTGTTACGAATTCAAAACGGGCAACAGCTAAATAGCCCACTCTATAGCTTGTTAAATATCTTCATATGTCATAGAAACAGGATAAGAAAGTTTACTAATGGAGAATTTCTTTCTATGGATACGAAATAAGAAGTACTCCATTTTTAGGTTTTAACAGCTTTTAGACTAGGATTTTAGATATTCAATTTTCTTTGTTGCACTTTTATTGGCCATTACTTGTACTAGACACTGTGGACAGTACAGAAACCATAGGCTAAAATGGGTGAACCACCTTGTGGCGTCTTTGCTTGTGTACCACAGTACAGTGTATAGTGCTGTAGTAAATCATAGTTATTTACTATGAAGTTTTGAAGGGCATACAGCACTGTATTGAGTCGATACTGTGAGCATATTAGTGTCTCTGTATTACTGTAGAATCATATAATCAAGATGTTTCCTGTGATGCATCATAGTGACATTACTTTTGCTAAGCCGATCCAATGCAATTTGTATTGCACACTGTCCTGGACTGGACCGGTCACGGTGGTCCATGACCATAGACAGTGTATAGTACTACACGGTAGTGATGATTGATCGCTTGCTGCAGACTAAAAACAGATGTCACCCCTTGGCAAAGAGCATCAGACAGTCCAAAACCTGTAAATAAAAGGAAAAATGGAGACGGGAAATGACGATTCTTGTACTTTAGGTACTGCCAACGACACAAATACAGGGCTAGTAATTGATTATCAAGAAAATTGAATAAGATTGCGTCTTTTTTGATTGGCTTTGAGTTTGTGGTATACTATAAAAGGTGCTATTAATTACGCTAATCGAAATCCTAATCATTTATTCCGTTCTATGTCAGGTCAAGATCTCTGTCTGGTCTCGTACACTATAACGATTGTGTCGAGATGATCAATTTGCTGTACTGTACCAGCGACTACTAAAGGAAAAATGGCACCCCTCCGTTGTACGTCCCGATCTTTTTGAGACGGTAGGGAAATTTTGAGAAGGAAAATAGGGGGAAGGAGGGTTGCAATTTTCTCTCTAGTAGCCCCTGGCTATATATACCCTAGACTACGAGAAAAAATACCTGGACTAGATGCTCTCTTCGGATGGACGGACTACTTTTCATACCAGATGAGGCAGAAAATGTGGAAAAATAGTTACTCAGGATGGATCTTCCGTGTGTATTCATTTGAATAACAGTCATAATCAAAAATTGACTGCTTCCAAGCAAAGTTGAGTAACAAGCAATGAAATACAATGGAATATTACTTAATTTGGAAAAAAGAAAGTCCATCAGAATGAACTATCTGCATACTAAAGTAATTTCATAATGCAGTATTTGGACATCATTGATTGACTTAAGTAGGCCCAATGTCTGTCCGTCCAAAGGAGTGTCCAGTCCAGGTATCTTGCAGTCCATGACTTTGCATACTGTAGTGTATAGTATACAGTATACCAACTGCCAGGTTGGTTTTAGACACTACTGTGTACCATTTCAGTGGCAGAGTTATAGTAGAATGACCAGAACAAGGATAAACCTCGACCGGCTCAACCTTCTCCTCCTCCTGTCCAGCTCCTTCCGTCTTTCTGTCTATATGTCATCGAAATGTCCTCGTCGCTAGGTACTGGATTCAGGGAACTCTAGCAAGGATTTGCCAACCCATTTTCTCTAACCAGAAGTCGCTGATATTGGCGAGCTATCGATTGCATTCGATCAGCAATCCAACAATCCGCTAACATGAGTGAAAATACGGAGGAAAGTGATGAAATCGACAGCGAAAGGTAATGCTACAAAGGACATCCATCAGTAAGAGTAGTCTCGATCGATTGACACTGTTGCTTTCAAATAAATATTGACTTGTATAGACAGTAGACGATTATAAAGAAACGCCCTTGAAGACTAGGCTAGAGTAGAATGAATTAAACTCTTCTCCACCGAGCTGACTTGATGGACTATTCTATTTTACAGTAGAGAGAGAGAGATACAAGCACACTACTGACCTTCTCCACTACTCTACGCATATTTTCAACCTAGTCACTATATAGGCACTGCATAATATGAAAGTCGACAACAACTATAATACTATTTTACTCATATTTCTTGTTACTGTAATAAGAGAGAAATTTATACAACTCTACGACTTGGACGTGTACTTCATATTAAGCCATCAAAATTATTTTCGATAGTTTCAAGTCCTAGCATGATTTGATTAATACTAATAAATAGGACAGGATTCAGATAGACTGATGGATTGAGGTTGAAAAGTGATATACAGTATACGGTGCCGTAGGTTATTATTGTTGATTTCAGGTATACAAATGAATGCTTGCTTGCTTTCTGATCAATTCTAACTTGAATACTGTACTACTCCACTTGTATACAGCAAATGATCTCACTTCGTCGACTAGTATTGTAGGACTCATCAATCAACAATCTTACTGCATACAATCTAAGGCATGGATCTATAGGCTAGCAATTGCTTACTCAATGTAATCATGTTACCGTATAGTGCAATAGATATACAGTAGCAATGATTAATCTCGTCAGTACTCTACCGTATACCATCAATGTCCACCAGTAAATGAACTTTTTTGATGATAAATTAAAATGCAGCACTGATAGATTAAATTATCTACTACCCATTGCGCGATAATACCACGGCAATACCTTACTTGCTGTCTACATCATGCAAAAATTCAGATAGTCCAGTCCATAAAACTAACAGACAGTTGTACCTTGTGCAAGAAAACTATGTACAAATTATATTATAGTATAATACTGTATATCGATAATCTACTGATAAAAAGGTTCAGCATATGAACCTTGAGACACCTTGGGACATGTGTAGAACTAGAACAGGATAGATATAGATTGATTAATGTTGATATTAACTTTAAGAGAACGTTGCATCTTGAATAATCCTACATGTCTAATATACATAGTGTAGAGCTGGAACTGGAAATGCTAAAGGAGATTTATATAAATGAATTACAAGTGGAACAGCAATGCTCAAAGTAAGACATTATAAATAATATGCTACCAAAAACAAGCAAACATGTGAATAATATCAATTGAACAATACAATTAATATACAAGAGTTTTCAACGTAATCATCATACACTTATTGCAGTCAGGTCGCCATAAGATTAATATTCCAACTTAATCCTGGTACTGGTGATGATGCCTCAAAGCAATACGTCCGCTTAAAATTAGTAATTGATATTCCATTAAAGGTAACTAAAATGATAAATTAAGACTATATCTTTTTGCCATCTATGGATGATCATTGATCAAAAGTTTCTCGTCAAGTTCTTAAAAGTTTAAATAAAATAAATGGAATAGAGTCTTACTAGTCCATCTCGTAGAAGGTAATAAGGCTTTTTTTATAAACCTAATAACATGAACTAACACTCGCAGTTAAAAGCAATACTTTTTTGGTTGAACATTGAATTATACTCGTGTAGCTTTATGATACCTATAATACATGAAACTGTAGTGATAAGAGTACTGAATTGATTTTACCCATACAAATCTTGCATGAGAAATTTTTAATCTCGACAGAATTTAATACTCGAAATAATTATAATGCTGGTAATCTAGCCACATCTTACAGTACTAAGAACTGTTGACAAATTATCTTTCAAAAGTACCCTATAGAATCTCCCATTTTCAAAATTGAAAACCCACGAGGACTGTCAGAAGCTCACATTGCAAGGTAATATTTTCAGCTTTAATTTTTTGATAAATAACGTCATAAAACTGCTCATATACGACGCAAGCACATCGATGAATTTCATTATGATAATCATGTTTAAAGCTATCGAACTTAAACTAATAACTCAGTATTTACTATCTGATTAATAGCATCTTGGCTAATTGTACAGAACTTGCGAAAAGCAGGGAAGGAGAATTAATCCTATTAGAATTAGTTGAGGTTATTCAATCACAGCTTTGTAATAACATTTCAAAACCTACTTGAAATAATTATTCGAATACTTTATAAAATAAAATATGGTTTCATTCATTGCTGATTTTAGTACGTCAAAGACAGCTTAACTGCCAATAATATCCCTATATGCAAATGTGCCATTTGTTTACGCCATTTTATGGTAAAAGTAATATTTATACGTTCGCTTTTGAAAACTTTCTCGTATACTAAGATGATGAACTAACTCTAAACAAAATTTAATGTCAGGACGCTAGCAACTTTATTAAAACGGATTGCTACCATTACTTTCACAATGCATGCATTATGCGATACAAAAGGCATCAAGATGATAATAATGAAGAGGTAAATTGACGTTGTCTTGTTTTAAGATTTTGGTCACGATTTTTCATCTGTATCTATAGGTAATTGAATGGACAACATATATCACCTGATCTTTGCTCTTGTTCGTGATAGTTACTGTGTCCAATATGTAGGGAGCCATTAGATAACATTGATCTTGATGCATTCAAAAATTTATCACTTAAGGACGGCGATCAGACCGAAGTAAGTGGATCATCAAATATAAATGTATCTCGATGATATTACTGCAATTGCCTACAGTCTTCTATGCCTATTCTCTTATACAAGACATTTATAATAATGTAGGAGGATGACAGCGAATATGTTCATAGTAAAGATTTTAAGTTATGGCAACAAGAAACCGCTAAAATTTATCAGAAACAATTAGAAAATGGTGGTATAATTGACTTGGAAAAGGAAAAAAAGAGATTCTTAGTAACTGAAGCTACGGTAAGATGATCGTTGTTAAATGGATATCTATCGATCTGATTCTAATATCGAATTTAAATTTTATCACCATGCTATAAATTGAAATTATTTACAATCAAGACTTTATCACCAACAAGCAAACAAGTAGTAAAATCAGGGGATGATTCAAGAGCTGAACTTAATACATCTTATGATCGTGTGTATGAAACTCCACGTAAGGAAGATTTTAAGGTGGAAGATAGAATTAGTAAAACGCTTCCTCGCAAGAATATAACCGAATCGCACTCGTATCAATCTTTTAATCGATCACATAAACGGCACTATCGGTGGACATCTAAGAATGATTATGTTCGCTCAGAAGCAGAAGTGAATCGTGACAACAACTTAACAAGAAGCGAATTTCATACGCCTTCTAAACATAATTCTCCTCCAGCTCGGTCTGGTCAAGCTACAAATCGTGTATTTGATGATCATTCAAGCAAATCTAGTCGTTATCGTGGAAACAAAGGCGATAAAAAACACTACAGGTCACCAAATCATTCGAATGAATCAAAAGATCAGAACTTATGATACTTAGCTAGTACAGGATATATATTGCAAAACGGTAAAATTTTTTTCATGTTATTTGCGTAGGTAACATTGATTAATTGTAGATAATACTAGTACAGTCTCGCTGATGTAACATACGTGTATGTACGTGTAAGGAATGATTGTAAATATAAAGAAAATATCTAAATTTTTATATAAATTAATTCCACCGACTTAGCTACTGACAGGCAATGTGTATTCAGTGTGAGTTTTAAGCCATCTCAGGTGGATATATTCTAATTGATAATGAATCACAACGTTGAAACTTGAGTTATTATTTGTTTATACCTATTTCTGCAGATTGCTATAGTGTCATAATAGCTATAAAAGGGAATATCATTATCTTATTCACTTAGTAATATAGGTAGCATAGCATTGAAGCGTAGAATACAGTAACCAATTTTATTTTACACAAAGCAACAAAATTCATAATTATAATGTACAAAACATATATATTTGTTATATATGTCGTATATATATAAATTCGAATTTGTAGCACAAAAAATTCGGACAATATCTTAAAACTATACACTCACGATAGTGAATGACTGGTGATGCAGTTTAGTCGTCCATCTTTATTTTAAGTTGCTGCTATTATTACGCAGCACATCTGTGACAATAAAGTGATATCCTCAACACAAATGATATATAGATAAATGCTGATATATTTTACAGAAATATCATATACAGCAAAAGATGGTCACTATTTACGTTATGAGAAACGAAATGACGCCATAGCAAAATCATGGCATCATTATACTACTTCTAATTAAGACTTATACGAGGTATATTATGCATGATTTATCAGGAGCAAAATAAATAAAAGATATGAAATATAACCGGTGATCTTTCTGAGCATTCGATGTGATGCGACAGTAAGAAGTCAAAATGATTATCAACTTTGGACTAGTGCAATTATTGACAATTCTTATGATATAACAATACAAAATCATGACATTGCTGATCACATTTTTAAATACAGCACACAATTAATTCTTGTTATCATAAAAATTTAGTTTGATGCTAGATTAATTCCTAATCTTACAAAAAAGTTTGTAATAATGGAATAAATAATACGTTGTAAAATTTTCTATAAATGTTAAAAATTTGTAATTTCACTAAATGGATTCAAATATATCCGTTGCTCTTCAACACTTGGTTCCACAACTTGAATGCAGTACCAGATTTTCTGAGAATGTAATAGTGAATGCGAATTGTCTAGTTCTAGGGTATCTATGATATTAAGAAATAGCACAACATTAGTTAATAAAATGGAGCAACTTTTTACGACTACAAGCTTACAATAACCGGGAAAGATACAGAAGCACCCATCACACGTTGGAGTACATTTAGCCTTCATAGTCTTTTGAGCAATCTATATTACATTGAAATTTTTAAAGCTATAAGTATAACACCTTAGATAATCATAGAAATATTTTGATAGACTAAATGCAAGTTATAAAAAGTAATAATTCGCAGAAGCTCATAAAAATAAATCGATAAGGATAATAGTTAGCTATAAGTGTTTATTAACAAAGTATTACAAGAGTGAAAACCATGTAACAATTATTGATAAGATTTTAAAACTACAAATTCAAACTTACTACAGCGTCCTCATCTTTCTTGATAGGATTAGTCTTATCAGTGCCTTTATAGTATAATCCAACGTTTATATAATTTGATTGGAATACGATTTCCCATCTGTAATATGATGTAGCATACTATCAATTATTTTATTTTCAAGCATTGCTACAAGATTACTAAATAATACAATAGTTATCAGCTATCAAAAATTTATCCTCTGTTAAATTAGCACTATATGATTTATTTGATAGCAATTAATATACGGCATAAAGCAATCGTTAATTTCCAGAAATGAAAACTATTAGCATTATGACCTAAGCATACATATTTAGTATGCCTTTTATCTTCACGCACAGTATATTTAAACACTCTTATATCGATGAATTGCAAATACTTATATATGTATTAAAAGCAATCATAAACAGTTAGCAAATTAACAATAGCGTATAATTTCGATACAATATATACTTTTGCATGATTTAGATACGAGAAACTGCTAGAAATAATTTCTTCTTATCTAAAGCCTATATACTAATGCTATTCGTAGTAATTTATTAAATCCGTGAAAAAAGTAATGTATTTGTTATTGCCAAAGTTATTACTTATTGTGTATTATACAGCTTGTAAATTACATAATATCTGCTTAATAAAATATGGATATTAAAAAATAATAATAACTAATTAGAGAATATTTCATTAACTTTAATATGTGAATTGTTTTAGACAGCTTTCAAAATTTCATATAACGGTAGCGCAACAAATGATTGTATAGCCTTAATCACGTCTTAATCATTAAAAGATATTTTTCATAGGTTTGATGAAACATAAGCTGTTATATTATAATCTTTCGTATCATTAAAAATGAAACCAATAAGAAAAAACAGGGTACATCGTTCAACCTTAATGTACTGCCAGCAACTGATATCTCCACGTCAATATCATAAACAGATTTTCTCCCAACACTGCATTCCTTCCACGTGCCAAAATGAAGCGATGGCAAAGCCTTACCATATAAATATTTGGGAATCTTATGCGGGTAAGCCAACTAGTTTATTAATATTGAATTATATTAAAAGTAAAAATTAGGTATTGAAATATTAGACTGTATTGTGCCTACACTATAAGAAATTTTACCCAGCATCTACGTGTATTTTATATTTTACCCATTCCGAACAATTTGGATCTTCATTAGTATCGGTTAAATTACCTCCATAGCAAGCTGGTACTACCTCAGCGCCAAGTTCATCTACAAGAACACTTTGATAATGATAATCTACTGGACACAAATAATTATATCAGTTTGTAGTTAAATATCTATGTATTAATTATGCAGATATTTGTATCTATCATTCACTAGGACTGTTAAAGATCATCCAATTTAAATACTAAGTAGCATATGTTGGCACAAACGTACTTGGTAATATAACAGCCTTTTTCCGAAATTCCTTTATGAATAAGCTCTTATACGTCCAATAAAAGATGTGAAAACTTTTAGGACATCGAATGATATAAATTTTCTCTATCATTCCCGGCCATATTTTCATGAATGCGTTACAGATCTGTCAATTTGAAAATTTTATCGTTCTATCAGCAATGTTATATTTGCTTTTCTTACTTCAGGATAATTATGATTGGATAAGATTGAACTTCACCTACCTGACTAAAGAAACTGTTGCCTACAAAATATAGCCAAAAAAATCGGAGAAATTATTAGTTTTAAATTTCGAAAGAAATAAAAGTATTTGAAATCATGATATCTGTGCACGAACGTTTATTATTCTTGTCATGCTTTACAACTTTAAATGATTCAATAGTAAAAAGGGATTCAAATAAATTAAAGTCTCGTAATAAATCTTTAAAATTCAATTTAACTGTATTCTATCCTCTGATAGGGAATTAAGGATCAATATTTAATTGAAGGATGATCAATTACGAAATCTCTTATAATCTATATTAAAATGTTAAGCATGAACAATATCTGCACTAAATTACGCCATACATGCAAATAAGAAACAGCTACTGTTTTCTAAGATTTCTTATCCGCAACAATCCATCATTAGGATCGTTTTATATTTTGCGACCTATCGATATGGTAGTACCAAAAATAAGCTTTCTCTAATTGTATGAAAATAATTTTCGTAGCGTTACAAATCGAAATTTATAACAAGGAAGATTAAAACTATTACAGAAACTACACACAATGAGTCTACTATCAGGTTTATCCTTCCTGACATTTGCCCATTAAACGACTCTAAATACTGAAGATCTCCTATTGTCTATAGGAACGGTAATACAACGCTAGTCTCTCTCAGACGCAACTGAACCCAAACTTTATTGAAAAGTCAGATAATTTGTAGAAAATCAATACAAACATTAGTTATCAGTACTTGGATAATATTATAAAACTAAGCAGCTATCCATTAAAAGAATGTATAATGTCATAGATAAATTAATTCTATGAAATGTAGTAATATCATGTTTGATTTACTCACCCATTTTTAAAGCGTTCCATAAGAATTTCATATCGAACAGGAACATATCAATGATAATAACAATTTTTTCCGGTAGGACGCATGGCTACATTTGTAGGAAAGGGAGCCATTAAAATAAATAATATAACACATTAAGTAACGACTTATAGAATTCTTATGTTATTTCAAATTGATATCTGAATACGAGAAAGTATCTATGACGACCCACTGTTAGATTGAGAAATCAAAAATGAACTACTTTAAAATACTCTTGAAGTAGACTCTTGGAAATTGTAGCGTAGCGTGCCTAATACAGGATTATCGGCATAAGATCAAAGTCAATTTGTATTAATTTACCTGTTGACCAGATAGCTGGCTATTCTCAATATTTCTTTGAGTTCGTAGAAGATAAGCTTGAAGATCACTTTCTGTAACTGCATTTGCCATACCGAAAACGTCTATATTTCCCAGTAATTCAACACGAACACGGTAATTATTCTTGCTCAATTTAGGCAGCCAACCTCCCGGATAGTAACTATCCAGAATCTATGAGTAAAATAGAATATCAGATTTAATTATCATTGTAAATCATTGTTATAAAAGTTAAAGTCTATCTAAGGCTATAATATACTTGCTTAGTGAGTTACAATAATAGTATAATCATTAGCTAAGCTGCAACGAAGTTCAAATAAGATGTGAGTACGCATACCTCTGATGATTTGATTGATGTTGATTGTTGATGATTTTGAGAATTTCCCAATTCTATAGGAGTTTTCCATGGCAGCTAGTCAAGAACAGCGAGAATAGTCGTTATATACGGACATACAATTAAACTCATATCTCATAAGTACCAAACACGGCTAGACTTATATAACGTAAAATAAACCGACTATATTTAATGTATGAAAAGTTTATACCTAGCTAAATGTTTTAATTATCTTATCAATATTTAAACTGCCGTATTTAATACATGATAAGTTGATTCCTAACTAAATATGTTAGCATAGCTTATCAATATTTAAGCCGGTTTTATTGAATACGTTTATGTCTCAGTAAATATTTTAATGTATCTCGTCAACGTTTAAAATTTGCTATATTGAATAATTGATAGCTTATATCTAACAAACAATATCAATGTGTCTTATAAACATTCAGCTACACTATTAGGAGATATTATAAACTTTTGTAACTATTAATTCATCAGACTTTGATTAGCTCTTTCTTGTACACTTAAATGCATATGCTATCGAAAATATCAGTAGAAGAGATTTATCTATAAATTCGAAATACATGTCTTTAGAAGGCAATTTTATATACACCTTTTAGCAAATGTGTAGACCCTAATATTATATCTATATTTTCGAATGTATATTACATAAAGTATTTCTATCTACAAAGCTTAGTATATGAATAGAGACCTAAAGATTCTAATAATCATTTCTCTGTGCACTTATTTTCTCTTGCTCATAAAAATTGATATTGTCATCTGGATGTTATAGTAGATCTAAGTTAACTTATTCAATACTAGATAATAAATTCATATCCACTAAAATGTTAATATGTCTTATAAATATTCAGCTTTATCACTAGATACGGCAATATTATAGACTTTTATAACTGAATATCCTATATATATAGTTTACGTAGAAGAAATATTAAAAATGATCCTATCTATAAATTCTAAATATAGTTCCTTCTAAAGCATTTCTACCTACTTCATTTAGTGAATATGTAGATCTAAATATTCTTGAAATAATTAAATGTGTCTATCTTCTCCTAATCCTATAGATTACTATTCTTATTCGTAAGCTATAAAAGTTCTAATCCTATAGTAACTATTTGCTGTGAATCATTTGAAATTACATTATCGTATAAATTGGCTAAATTCAAGTTATAGAAGTCATCAAAATTAGTCTAGTTATATACTTCGAGTACTCACTGAATTAATAAGACTTCCAGGGATTGATATTTTCCTTAGTCCATTAACTAAGGATAATAAAAGAAAAAAATTACTTTATTTTCGCATTTTAAAGAATACAGGTTAATGCGATATATATCAATTTTATTTTATGAGAACTTAAAAATAAGAATGGATAAATTCTTCTCCATACTAATTTGCTAGACTATTTATACTATAATTATTTCAATCAAATCCGAAATCCCTTTCACCCAACCTATTATTCAAATTGAACTAGTTTAAAATAGTAATTATAACAAACAATTAATCAAATCACATCCATCTAGGGATCACTGCTAAAGTAGTCTACGGGACATCATAAAAGTTATAGAACGCATCCTCAGTTAAAATAGCTAAGGCTATACGTAGTTATGATACATTAAATGCTGCAGAAAAGCGTTAGCTAGAATACATTAAGGATACCCCAAAAAAACTTCCATCATAATAAGTAGCAGAAATAAATAAAAAAGAAGAAGGATTTGCTTAGTTTTCTACGTCAGAAACGATCAATCTTAGGGCTATTTCCATTTCAAGAGTAGCTATTTAGGATTTAATCACGGTACATATAATTTATAAATGTTTATCGTTCACGTCAAAATCATACTATGACATGGTACTAAAAATGGTTGTAGAGTTGTAAAATTCTAGAATCTCTATTCTATTACTGTATTTGCTGCAGTTAAGTTTGGCAATCCTATATATAACCTATTTTATTTAATGTGCAGAAATGGCGATTAATAAGTTTTTCCTTGTATTAATATTCAGTCTAGATACGAAAGTTAATGAATCTACGATAGTCAAAGTGAAAACCTTAGTGATTTCATGCAGGTTCTGCAGTTTAAGGTTTCATTGCATACTAACATATATTTAAAAAGCTTTGCAAAAGTTAATTCTTTAATAGAAAAGTATTACTTTTACACTGGTATCTACGTATTGCTCCATCATTCATGTGGCTATAATTGTATACAGCATCAAGACGTATTATAATGTAAGATTAGCTAAAAAATACTTTTGTACAATGTTTGAATATCTGGATAACATTTTTGATTACTATTGTCCATAATGACACATTAAAAGAACATTGCATACTGCAACCTTAATCCAGTCGATTATCGAGTGAATAAGATATTAATGAATATTAGCACAACAGAAGAAAATAGTTTCATCAAAATCTGTCCAATTGAGCGACGCTACCTCACGAAAGTAAATCTGATCATTAATTTTTTATTCTATATGTATGTAGGTGAAGATCCAGTTTTGTATAGGTAATAGTTATTTCACCCATTTATACCGGTAAACTTTCTTTTACAGTATTAATCTTAAGTAAGGTATTATGAAGGAAATAGTTGCTATACCCTATTCATAAATGTGGAAAACGAGTCATGAAGTACTAATCTATTATAGAAATTACCCCCTTTCTGACAGAAAATTTTTGTTCTGCCATTTACTACTAGAATTGTATCGGCAGTACTTATAATATACTATTAGAAGGATGTAATTAGAGATTTTAAAAATAAAAAACTTTGGTCAAAAAATCTGCCCAGCATTTTCTCCATCTATTATAGTGGAATATGATCAGTAGAAGCTCTCGTTAAATGCTATAAAATGGTATCATCTAGACTCTACCTTCTATTCGCGGTATAGGATGGTTATTTGATTGATGCAGCATGGATTTCTTGTCTTTTAAGCTAGAATTAGGTTGCCAAACGGTCGATACAAGAAATAACGAGCGAATCGTCATGATGATATTCAAGAAATGATAATAATACTTTGTAGTAGTAATGGATATTTGGTGTAATTATACGGATTTTAAAAGCTGCTTGTTTATTCATAAAAGTAGAATACACTGAATAGATGATAATAAGTGTAGTGATATATAAACTAGCACTAGCTAGCTATGTTTTTGCTAATTACTACGCTAATAGCAGTACGTCAAAAAATCACGGTTGGAATGTTTTTATAGGATTGAGAATTTCAAAGAGCTATTATATAATATTACTCACCGTAAAGTATGTGTCTTGATAAATGATGCCCAGTGAAGTTAAAAGCTTTATGTCTTGTTTGTGAATATAGCAATAGATCAATATGGCTATCAACACTATAATAGTGTTGTTAAGATGATTAAAGTTAATAGAAAGTACCGTTACTGTTGTTGGCAGGTGTATAATTCAGGGATTGCAAAAAGTTGAAATAAATTGATTAAAAGTAGTGATTTCTTAGATCGATGACTACAGTAGAGGAAAACACTGTTGACTAGCAAGCGATAAATACATAATAATAAAATCTGTAAAATATATCCATGCAGATGTTGAAATAGGAGTGATTAATCATTAATAGCTAAATCGATTATCTCGCGCGATATATATATATATATATACATATATTGTATAGGCTGTACAGCTATTGCGCGCATATCAGTAGCCTTAACATACCGTATATAGAAAAATTTCGGAGTAAAGTAATAGAAAAAGGGCATGTACCTTATTATGTAAAGGACATGAATCATTTTCTATTTGTTACAAAATGTAGAATAGATTATTGTCGTTTTTATAAATACAGAAAGATGATTCTTTAAGGAAATGTTATTTTCTCTCTATTAAAAGTTTATCGATACTCTCTAATCTAATTCATTTTAGAGGCAAAAGTAGATGTATTAGCTCAGTAACTTATTGATAAAACTAGCGGTAAATCTTCACTTTAAAGCAGGTCAGGAAAATAATCAATTAGTACAACATGCTATCATTTTGCTAGCACATCATCAAATATTACTGAAGCTTATTGTTTTACATCTATAGAGATAAGAATTTCCCACGATAAACGGCGAATCAGTAATCTAAATTTAATATCTGTATTGCAATACAATGTATACAAAAGTCATATGCCAATGACAGCAATTATTGCTCCAGCCATTTGCAATAATAGGAACCCTAGGGTAGAGATATTCTGTAATAGTAATAGGCATAAACAATAATTTAATATCTCTTATTGTAAATGGACATTTGACCGAATTTTATCTCCCTATGACTCCTAGACATCACGTCTCCACCAGTAAATTTGTATCGGTTGATCTCTATTTCTTAATACAATCTGATTTATGTTTTCGAAAAATTTTTTTAATTATTTTTTTATAAGGAAATTAGATAGTATTTTATACTATCAAAGACTCACTCTCAATTTTGATCATCATTTTAGCGGCCTTTGTATTTGATGTTGTAGTAAATAGATGGAGAATACGTTAATATAAAGCGGACGAATACAAGAAAGAAAAGAAAGCATCAATTAAAAAATCGCAATTTGTAAGAATAGTAAAAAATAATCATCCTTTTGCTTTATGGCGTACGTTATAATGGAAGCAATGCTTGCGAAATATTCTAATCGAATTATCTATCATAAACAACATAAACCGATTATACGTAATTATTCTTTGTATAGACTTTAAGATTAGACATGTACCATAGCATCCCTCAATCATGGACCATAAGTTGTTTTACAACTAGTTGTATCAAATAATCTATCTTTATTTTTATATTATTAATAACAGGTTGCCCCAATTGGCACCGATATTAAGCACGATATTTAAATATAGATAAATATGTTACAAAATATGCATATAGCTTAATCGAATTTTTAATGATGGTTTATTCAGTGATCTTCGTTGATTATAAACTGAAACATGTATCATATCATTTCTCAATCATTTTCATAATTCGCATTTATAGTTAATTGCATCATATCATTTATCTTTTTTGTATTATTTAATAGCAGCTTGCTACAATTCACTACGATAGTAGGCAAGGTATACAAATAAATGCAGATATAAATTCATAGTGCACCTTCATAATTCTAACGATATATGTTCAGTAATCTTTATTATCTAATACAGACGTAAATTTACGGTTTAATTTACTTTAAAAGAACTATATTTGCAGTAATCAATAAAGAGTTTATATATTTTAATACGGAAAAAATGATGGCATAAATCATGAAGAAGGCCTTTATATAAACATATCATATATATATAAATATAGCCGTTTATGTTCTCCTTTAGTTATTAATGATAACTACGAACGTCTATATCCATACCCTAGGCGTTGTAATATTAATCATTGTTGTTTATGGAAGAACTGACGTCTTAAAATGCCATAGTGGTGCAAATTGTAAAGAATACCTGTATACAAATGTATCATATATATAAATAATCGGTCAAGTTCTCCATTGGCTATTTATAATAACTACGAACGCCTTTATCCACACCCTAGATATTATAATATTAATCATTGCTGCCTATAGGAAGACTGGTATCTTTGAATGCCGTGGCGGTGCAAACTATAAAAGAATGCCCTTATGAAAACGTATCATATATATAAAAAGCCGGTTATATGTTCGATTAGTTAATCATACTAACTACGAACGCCAATATCCACACCCTATGCGTTGTAACCTGTAATATTAATCATTGCTGCTCATAGATGGAATATTATCTTAAAATGCTTTAGTGGTGAAAATTATGAAGAACGCCCATATATAAATGTATCATATGTATAAATAGCCTGTTGTTTTCGGTTAGTATTCATAATAACTAAGAACACCTAAATCCACACCCTAGGGCATTGTAATATTTATCATTGCTGTTTATAGAAGGAATAGTACTTTTAAAATGCTCACTTTCTTGTAAGCTTAATTTTTGTCAAGTGATGAGTATTTGCAGTAAATATTACACGACTATCTTAATGATATCTTGCCCATAACGTTTCGTTTTATATCCCATTTTTACTACTTTAAGATCGCTCTTTTATGGAACTTTAGTAGATGTATTCGATTATTTCAAGATCTTTATGAGCTATTTAAAACTATGATGTCAAATTTAGCTAATTCGGTAATATAATAATCGATTGTTGATAAAAATAGTAATATTGATCAAATAAACAATTTTAAGAAATATCAATATATGCCACTTTATGACCAGATGAGAGTTCAAAACTAACTATGCTTGTAAGATAGCCCGAAACAGTAACTCTTAGAGTAAAATATTGCTAAAGAGTGTATCGATATTTGTCCTACGTAAAGATTCAATTTATTTTAATGAAATAATTTTCTTACCAACAAGTATGCAGATAATATACGGTATTAAATCAGGCAAAGTAAGATCCCAAAATTATTACTGATGCAATACGAAGCAACAACAATTTTTGCATAAAGTACTATATTACAGAAATATCGATATACACCTTATATAGTACATAAAATTTTAACCAAATAATTCACTCAGTAACCTTGTAGATGATCTACAAATAATAAACAACATTACTTCCTGAACTTAGTCCAATTTAGTGAATATTAAAACTACTACACACATCGTAAGCCATTTGATACTTAGAGCCCTATATAAGCAATGTTTACCATTAAATAGAAGTTTATAATCTAAAGTTATGAATGATATCCAATTATTTAACTTCTGGCCAACACCAAAGATTCTCAGCTGGAGATTGTAAATCTGGAATAGCTATAATCCTCTGACGTCATAATAAATTAGACTTGAATCGACGTGAATTTTGATATAGTTCTTCCATTTTTTTCGATAATGATAACATTATCTAAAAATCAATCACGTATTATTTGTACTCAAATTACTGATAATAAAAAATAGCGTTGTGATATGATTATCATGTTAGTATAGAAGCTATACACATATCTTGAAACCATAACTATCGCAATACTTTACTCACCTCGTATGAAAAGTCTCCAACTACATGCAGAAGCATATTGATAACTTTAATTAATATTGCAACGTTTGTACAGAACAGCAACTTAGATAGGAAATTTAATCCTATTTGAATCAGCTTTACTGGAAGTTTTTGACAACGAAATAGCAAAATAAAAACAGTAATTACCCATATTGACGTTAAAATTTGATATAATGCATCTTAAAGCAGTTCATTTATTGCAGTTTAAATCATCATTAACTCTCATGTAATTTAAAAATAAAACTGGGCCTTGTCTTATAGCATTAGTATCTTGAGCTAGGTATTTAATTGTAATTTGAATTATGAATCCCTTCAAATATTAATCAGCATTACAAATCAGTTGTAGTCTATTTCAGATCATTAAATCAAATAAACAGACAAAATGATATATCCGATCAATATGCTAGTACATTGTTATTGAAGCATTTTACCAGTGGGATAGACTGATAATATAGAATCAAAAGCAATGAGTCATAATATCGCCTTTCAATCCAAACATTATTCAGTCCATTAATCCAGCAAAAGGTTATCGTTTCGTAGCTGTAGATGATAAATCAATCAAGTAATTATATCGTTATAAATTACCGATAAAAGATCGTATTTAAGAGTTTCAAATTTAAAAATGAGTGAACCAATATCCCGGAATTAAAGGTTTTCATATAAGATTGTGCAAAGGTTAACGTGCAAACATTAGCCCATACATTGATAAATCGAAGCAATAATAATGAAGTTTACGTCAGATATACATCGTGCGGAATATAAAGACTTCATACAGTGATTACTAAAATTTACCGAGCAACGTTATATGGTATCCTAAGTTTATTAAGCAATAAATACCAACTTAATAAAAACTATACAAGGATAAGGATATTTCCTGAAAGGAGGAATGCTTCAATTGGCGTAGAATACCGGATAACTTTGACATAGTTTGGTACGTAATATTACAGCTTTCAGAAGCTAAATTAAATAAGAATGCTGCAACATGCTTCAATTTTAA